ATGCTTGCTCAGGCTGGTCAACATTAGAGGGGTGTTCCAGTGTACTGCTATATTCACAAAGCTTTCTGATTGCGTGTTAATCGTTTTTCTGTGAGCAGCGGCCATCCGCATTATGTTCACTCGTAAACAAATTAGTGTTTGTTGGTGGGTATATGCCAGCTGTCTAGGATTTTAAGTAGGAAAACTCCCTCGTAGGACGTAGCTGCAGTCTGTGGGGTAGGGAGGGGAGGGGTTTGGGGTAGTTGTATTGTTATGTGGTCATTAAAAGTGTTCATATCCTGTAACATAGAGCATGCATGGTCGGCAGCAAGAGCGTTGACACAATACAAGGTCGCAGCAAGCTGACAATCCTGCCACTTAAACTTGCACATCTCAAAGGTTAAGACGCACAAATGAACGTCCAGTCAATGTGTCCTGGTTTGTTACATGTTCCTTTTTTCTTCTGTGGGCAAAAGAGGTAGCTGGTGTTGTGGTTTATAGCTAGTGTTGAAATCTCTTCGCCTTTCAGCCCAGCACATCACATTTCAGCAAACTCCTTTGTAGTAGCCTTTTGCAACATCCTCTTTAAGGGACCGTTCACACCACCCCCTCCCCCTATGTGGCCTTAGGACCCACACAGGGAGTCTGTGATTTGAAAAAAAAACAACTCAGTCTTCTTCTCTAGGAGTCACCGCAGTGTGGCGGTTAGACATTCACCTATGGTTTTGGAAGATCATGTGTTCGAGTCCTGGCGGTATCAAAATGACCATGGCTCCCAGCCTTGAATGGGTACCAGGTAGTCCTGGGAAGTAAAGATGGCCAGCTTGATGTTGATCACATCAACCATCAAGTACCTGATGGTCTATAAAATATAGTTCTAGCCCTATATGCCCAGTACACCTGAAGATGTGGAAAGGCTCCTTGAATTTTTTTTAAACTTCTCTTCCTCAGCAAAGTGTTGGGGAAGAGATTAGAAATTCCTCTATGTGCTCTTTCTATTGTTTAAGTTGGAGCTTTATTTCTCTAAGGTTACCTTTGATTACATTTCATATTTTTTGCATGGTCTTTCACTAGGTTTGTGTTCACTATAATTCTTCAGCATGACTTTCTATGGGATTTAGTACCATCATATTCTCATCAGATGACCAAACCATTTTACCTTTTGCTCTTTAATGATGCTGATTATTATTATTAGTTTTACCCCTCTGTGCTACTACCCAAAGGTTGCCATTTCATCCTAAGATTTAAAGATCTCAGTCTGGATGTCTTCCCCCAAAGACATAAAAACAAATATTGTTCAATAATGATACAAATTCAAAAATTCAAAAATAATTTTTTGAATTGCATGCTACAGAGTGTATAAATGTACATCTCAGGTTAAACTTATTAAATTTATTTTGTTCTTTCTTGGATCAAGTGAACTATAACTTATCGTTAGTGTTTTATTTGCAAATTTCCTTGTAATGTTTTGATTTTACAAGATCTCCTATTATTGTAGTCCATGCCATATGACTGGCAGTCGAGTGTCCAGCCACTGCTGCTCTTCGGCTAAATTACTTGGGGAAATACATAAAATGAAAAACGTTAGCTCTGCAAGAACATGAATCGTCATGATGCAGGTCTTTCACAGAACATCGCTGTCATCACAGTCTTCCTATTAGAAATTTGGTCTCTCGCCAGGTGTCACTTATATCCTGTGCCCCACCTTCACGTAGAACCTGAATACAAATATAATTAATTAGCAAGCCTCTGAGATTTGGTTTTACAGAAGAATCCTTAGAATTCCCTGGAAAGTCAAAAAAGAGCAACCTAGATGTTTTGAAAAAGGTGAGGGCTCAAAGACAACTTATCACAAACATGGCGTGGCATTAAAGGGGGTCAGCGCATGAACTCATACATGCTGTTGAAGATCAGACTGTGGAGAGAGATGATCCTCCACTCCATTCAGCCAGCCACTTGGTAATGATGACATACAAACAACAGAGTCAATGATGATCAGTGACATAATTGCTTTAACAAATAACTAGCAGATATTAACAGGGGTTCTGTCAACTTCAGCTGGCTAACAGTGGGGTGAACGAAGCCGAGCATTTTTTTTTGTAAAGCGGAAGGGAAAAGGGCTTCTGATAAAATGTTTTATAGGCTTCATCATATTGTTTCTTGACTGCTTACTATGTGTTGTTTAAATTAGGTAACGAAGAATCAGTGGATTGCATTTTCTTCATGATAAAACCAGTAAACTTTACGATGTAAAATTTTTTTTATTTTTTTAATCACCTCAAGTCAGGGACAAGGTGTATACATGGAAATAATTTATATTGTTTTTGTTGCATTTGGCCTTAATAAAACTTCACTTTTACTTTGTTTTGTGTTTATTTTGTTAAGGTTGTGTATTTCTGAAATACTGTTGTCTGTGGCTTAGGCATTGCTACCGCACCTCATAATTCATAGGGTGCCAGGTTCAGTTCCACCTGTGGTTGATTTGGCAGTGGACCGCCTTGTATTGGTTTCGATAGTAATATTACGGAACGTAAAATTACCTAGTGAAAACAATGGCAAACTACTGGACATAACTTTGCCTTGGAAAACCATAACAGCCAAAAAATGCTGGGGTTGGTTCTGCAATGTCCTATAAAGGATAAGCAACTAACTAACTAGTTCTCTTAAGAAAAGTAATTAATGCTTAATTTCAAGGTTCCCCCCCCCCCCCCCCCCCACCTTGTCTTTACTGATATTGTTATCCATCTACAAATCTATAGTAATTTTATTACAAAAACTGTTAATCTAATATCATCAACACACACACAAAGTAGAAACATTCTAGCTGAAAGATGCACTGTTTTTTAATACAAATCTATTGAGCTCACCTCACTATTGGCAGGAGGATATGACGCTCTCCTCTCACATAAACACTTACAATATAAACTTTATATAGTAATGCAAGAACATCTTTATAAAGTTGATTCAGTTGATAACAGACGCTCTATAATTACATTATTATATGTATATTGGAAAAGCCCAGCCTATTTCTCTTCTTCGTGTTTAGTCTCAAAAAGATGGCTGGTACATTGAGTGGTGGTTTACAACTAGGCTGCAATATATTTGCTTTTCAGCCCAACACATTCGTTAAAAAAACTAAAAACATTTGCCTTTTACAGCGCGCTTGTTAGAGCAGTAGTGAGTTTACTCTTTTTTTTTACCACCCCCCGCCCTTTAAAATAGGGCCCAAAACCCATACTGGGAGTCTAGCTTATACAAAGACAACTAAATAATAGTTGTTTCAATAATTTTTTTGGTCATCTTCAACAAGCTCTATTTAAAGACAACTAAATAAACTAAACGATAGCTGTTTCAAGCAATTTTTTTAGGTCATCTTCAACAAGCTCAGACAACTGCACACACAATAATAATTACTTTGCTAAGCTAAGAAACAACATAATTCTTCGTGTTGTATGGCAGAGGTAGAGTTAAGGGTTTCTTCTGCTTCTACTCTATCGTTTGTTGAGGTAAGGGTCAATCTTAGAAACGGCTAGCATACTTGCCTGCTAGCCCAATCATGTCTTCAAATCCCCATCAATGTTGGGGGGGGGGAGGGGGAAACTTGGCCTCCCCGGAAATGTCCTGGGGAGCGAAAGCTGTCAACCTGATGCAACATCACTGACTGATTAGTCTCTACAGATATAAGCTAAAGTCAACTCTCCTAAACAGCATCTAAAAAATGTCTGTTACATTGCCATATTTATTGCTTTTCCTAACCTTTTTACCTGCAAATTCTTTAAATAAAAAGCGGTGCCACAAATTGTTTCCGGAAACAGTCATAAGAAAAAAAAATACTTAATTTTTATTTTTTACTTTAAAAAAAAAAAAGATATAGAAGGGGCAATCAAAAAACACGAACAGAGTGAAGCATTCAATGGAATACATTCTCCAGGACATAAAAAGAACAAACTGTATCAGGGGACTCACTCACTGGCCTCTATCCTTGAAGCTTACAAGGAAATCTGACATCAATCATGAGGAAACACCCTTAAATGCTATTGAAAGTTACTTGTTCATATGCTGGCCAGTTAAACACAACGCCAGCAAATTGGACCAATGGAATTTAACTATGCTTTTCAAGATCAGGTCACTGCAGACATGGCCATTTATCAGTCTTTACAGGGATGTGGCACAGCTGGAAGTGACTAGATGAAGGGCTTCTGAAGGCGAAAGGGTTATGGTCCAAACAGCACATGGGTGGCCATATTACAATAAATATATGGAGATTATGACAAGTGAAAGATCATAAAATAAAAGGCTGCCATAAATATTCTCATGTTTTAAAATAAGAAACCAGTTTATCTCCTGTGCATGTTGACTGCATTAACTCCTTCAGTACCAGGGAACTCACAAAACATTTATTGATTTTTCTTTATAAGGTACACATTTCTTTACTCTTCTGTCCTATTCTTGGGTTATGTTAACCCATTCTTTCTCAATTTTTACTACAACTGTGTGTGCTCCCAAAGCTGTATTTTTCCATTCCAGAAGTCGCACAATTCTTCGAAAGTATAACATTTTTTTTGTTTAATAACAACTTCCCGGGACTAAAGAGATAACATCACCAATAATCTCAAATGTAATGTCCATTAATCCCAAATGTAATGTCAATTATTTCCAATTCAGATATTCTTCTACGCCATGATGCCAAATTGTCCTGCATATTTTTTCTTGATCTCCCTTTTGACCTTTCTCTTCCGCTTTCCAACTGTCATGTCCCCTCATGATGTGGCCCCCAAAAAATGTGGATTTTATTCGGATTAGAGCACTGTTTTTAATCTGCCAATGCTATTCTCATCATTGTCTATATAACTCATCTTCCAGATAACTGTTCATGAATCTGCTTAAAATCAAAGCAATATCCAAAGTAATTTTAGATCATTTTTTTTTGGGCAGCTTGTAAAATCAGACAAATATATTGGTGTTACTGTTACATTTTTATTTTAGCATAACAATGTAGTCAAAACCATTTATTGTAGACCTCAGTAGGTAGGACCCTCATCATCATCTTCATCATCATCCCCATATTCTTCTCCATTGTCGAAATAGGCTTGGTTGTAATCTGTTTCCTGTTGATGAACAATGAAAAACAACTGAAGCCAAAATAAATAAATATCTGTGTGAAAAAGCGCTGTCTCAGAAAGGTTACCAACAAAACAAGAAGGGAGAGAGTCATGAAATACCAGCATCAGAGAGAAGGTAGGAACAAGACAGTGCTTGAATTATATTAAAATAATCAATGAAGCAGTAAAAGATGCTTGTCTTAACTTACTTTGCTAAAAGAAAATTTTAAAAAGTCATGTTCAACCAGCATCCCCCGGAAGGGGAGAGCTTTTGGTTACAATTGTGACCAGGTTTATGTGCACCATATAAAATGGCTTAGCACTTCTCGCCACCAGGTAACCCTTAAAAGGACTCTTGCAGTGTTGAAGTGATCAAGAGAGACAGGCCCAAATACTGTCCCAACTGACGAGACGCCATCTACCGGCCAGCCAATGTGACCCGGCTGCCAATGAGTAAAAGATGCAACCAGACCAGACTATATAAAAGACCTTCTACAGCCAAACATCTGAGCTGAGATAAAAGGAAGAGGTGGATAGACTTACAGGTGAATTCTACAAAAAGATGAAGCCATCCGAGCAGCATAAGACATATATAGAAAAACAATGACAATGAGCTACCATCTGATAAAGTGCGACAACGGAAGAAGAAGAAAAAACCAATGAAATTTTCAGTTATGATTAAATATAACTGCAAATTTATAATACAACTGTTCTGTGATATTTCGTTCTTTGGCCCAAAACAGCAGAACCTATACAGCAATTGGGCGAATTTACCGCTAAACAACTAAAATATACAAGTATGAGTTATTTACTTTAAAAAGCATTTGTTTCATGTTCTATTCGTGAAACACATTGCGGGTGTCCCATACGCTTCCATACACAGGAGAAATAAATATTCCATCACCATTACTACAAGCATAACACCAGCTGTGCTTATAGGTGTTCTTCGGCAAAGGAGGGTACACATCAAAATGTGTTTTTAAAACAATCATAGTCTTCTTCTTCTTAAACTCCGAGCCGTGTGGCGTTGGTAGTAATGTCTATCCCTAACCTTCTGTCTCGTGTATTTTCAATCAACGCTGATACAGATGATCCTCCATGCCATGATGTCAGACTGTCAAGTATCTTTTCTCTCTGTCTCCCTCTGCCTCTTTTCCACTCTAAATTTCCTACTGTCATGATGTACTCCAGTTTTCCCCTTCTCATCACATGACCAAAGAATGTAGATTGTCTCTTTCTGATGTGGGCAATCAGTTCTCTTTGCGAGTCATTTCTTTCAAGACATTATCATTACTTTTTCAAAAATATGTCCACGGTATTTTCATCATTTGTCTATTAAACCACATCTACACAGCTTCCAAATAATTTGTCACTAACCTACCAACTGTCCATGATTCACTTCCATATATCAAGATAGTCATGTAGAGTATTTATTGTATATAAATAAAAATGGTTTCATAAAAAATGTTTGATGCGTGATCTCCAATGCTGAAGAACACAGCGGTGCTGGTATGCTTGTAATGGTATTGAGAATATGTTTATGTATTCTATGTATGAAGACATGAGATACCGGATAATGTGAATCCTTCATGACAGTTCTGTGGAAACCGTTTGGTTTTAACAATGATATAATTATTTAGTTTGTAAAGGATCATCTTTATTTAACACACATATCTTCTACAGATCATGAAAGGAGAAACTGCGGGCAGTAATACACTCTATAGTGAAGATGATTACTCGATAAGACCCAGATCAAGATCATATCACGGATTTTCTGTACAGGATATTCAGGTGTACAAAGTAATGAGCAGGCTGATAAATTAGCTGCTGCCACTCCTCTGGGCAGTGAGCTACCATATGATAGAGCAAATGCTGTGAAGGCCCTATGAGTTCAAATGGACAGCGCAAAAGAAGAGAAAGGGAATCCATACATTCAAAGACTAATCCAACAAGGGGTATGTAGAGGTTCTGGAAGATATTCAACACTGATGGGGAAACAGAGGTGGACTTTTCATCAGGTTGCAACTAGTACTATTAGCATGGCAACTCTTCACTGGTTACTGAAGAAGGGGTTGGAGCAGGTATGGGAATGTCTCGAGTGCAGTGATATCAATTCTTGATTCATTTAATTATTCATAGTGATGATGAATATACAAATGGGTGTGTACTGGAATCAGTATGGTAAAGCCCATATGTTGTATGTGCAACATAATTCCTATCTCTGCCTGGTTTGTTAACTTCAAAAGAAAGGCAACACCAATACATCCCGAATATGCTGCAGAACTTCTATCTGTCTGAATGTCAGAGGTTTCTTCTGAGACTAAAGCTGCATTACTGATGTAAGTTAGGCAAAGTAAGTAAAGATCCCTTTTCATGCCTTTAGGCGCACTGGGCATATGGGAAGAGCGCCCATATTTTTATAGACCAATCGGCACTAGGTCGGTAATGTGGTCAGCATTACACTGGCCGTCTTTTCTTTCTCAGGACATACACCCTGGTACCCATTTTAAGCTGGGTCGACCTGCGACACCCCATACCATGATAAAAATCCACGCAGCCAGCAGTGGGTTTCAGCCGAGGTACGTTGGAATTACAAGCATGTCCTAAAAGGCGATTAATTAGCGGTGTTTTTTTTTCTAAGTCAGAGTGCATCTGCCTGAGAGGTGAGGAACCAACAGTCTGCATAAAAATAAGCCAGATCTGTAAAAGGATGCGCATGCAAAATTCATGTTCTGAAACAAGACTTTAGTCCAGAAATGGACGAACAACCAGAACTTGCTGCCGGATTTTACAGCCGGTGAGCGTGAAGATGAAGAGAAAATACAAGTATTATTAGCATTTATATAATCAAGTATTGCAACAACAACAACAAATCTGCATCAGCATTTGCATATTCAAAAAAACAAACCTCTTCTGCATCCTCTTCGTCATATTCTTCTTCCTCGTCACCTTCCCCATCTTCACCTTTCTTTTCTTCATCGTCTCCTTCTTCTTTTGCCTCTGCATTCTCAGTATTTTCTAATGTTGTATCAGTCTGTTCCAGTTTCTTTGAGAGAAAAAACCAACACGTTAAGTAGGAGAATAACTGCTAAAAATACATCCAGCAAAATAAAATTGTGATGCAAACTGCTTTCTGCTGAAAATGTTTTACGACATTAACAAAGTTCAGAATAAGTTCTAACACATTCTTCATTTATTACCACATGCAATAGAGAAAACTACAGACATAAAATCTTGGTGACTGCTTTTTCAAACATCTATTATTTTAATGCACAGTAAAGCAGATTTGACTACTTTAAAAAACTTAATTTTAATCTCAATAAAGAAGGTTGCCAAGGCCCTTAATGTTAAAGAGAGTACTAATCATGACATCCAGATGATACATTTTTTTGGAGGAAAGATTCTTACTTCCAACAGTTTGGAAACATCCTCATTGTCAGCTGGTCTGGCTACTTTAGTAGTAGCTGCTGCTGCTCTGTTAACTTTCACTCGTTTCCTTGGAACCTCTCTCAGCTCATGGGGTAATCTAGTCCAGTCTGAACAATGGTATATTTAAAAAACATGATCTTTACTGGTTGTAACGTACATAACACATACATAGATACATACAAACATTAAAGAATAAATTGCAGAAAATTACATAGTGGTTATAGAAAGCAAAAATCAAACAGGGTCAACTTGAATAATTGAAAGTCAGAAGTACTAGTAAAAGAACCCTTTTCCACACCTTTATGATTATTTGGCATATAGGGCTAGACCTATATTTTATAGACCAATCAGCACTCAGTGGGTGATGTGGTCAGCATCATGCCGGCCGCCTTTAATTCTCAGGACTTTTATCTAATATTCGTTTAAGGCCAGGTTGACCTAGGAGCCAAGGTCATTTCCGAATAAAGTCCGGCTTGGTCAGGCCCTGAACCAATGATCTTCATCGAATGTCTCGCCGCTATACAATGGCAGCTCCCCAAAAGTACTAGTAATCATTTTTTTTTTTTAAAGGACTCAAGCCTAATTCTCGGTACTAGGTGGGTAATGTGGTCAGCATTATGCTGGCCGTCTTTACTTCCCCAAGACATACATCCTGGTACCCATTTTAGGCTGGGTCGACCTGTGACGCCCCATACCACGATAAAATCCACGCAGCCAGCAGTGGGTTTCGATCGCGCTACGTTAGAATTACGAGTCGGACTCGCAATGCCTAAGCCACGGACGCCGCTAGTCTGGGATGAGTACAAGTATTCAATTATACCTACAAAAAAAAAAATTATAATTACAAAATTAGAACCAAAGAATGTGTAACAACAATTTAAAAAGTATTGTCATGAACAATAACTAATGACAAGGCTGTTTATATAATTAATTTTTTTTTAGGAGACAACTCAAACTGGTAAAACAAAAACAAAACAAAGGTAAGAAAATTTAATTTAATTAACCCTATAACAAATGTACCTGGCACAAACGCTGACCCACTATCATTCAAACCAGGCTGGTATTTGTCCGAGTATCGCTCAATGTCTTTAACCTTCTTTGGTGCTTTGATGTAGAATGGTGACTTGTGGAATGATTCACGAAGCTCCTGCTTCAGTGCTAACATATAATCAAGGTCGCTGCTCTGTGGCAATGGAACTGGTTTGAACTGTAAAGGCTGCACACACACACAAAAATCAGTATGCACACCTATATACTTAGTAAACTGTGATAGATAGAATGGAATGGAACAATAAACTGAGAGCCCTATGTGATGTGAACCAGTACGCACAATCGACTGATGATGATACAATTAGCAGAACTCAACAATAGGCTAAATGTGTTCCAACAAAACATCATGCAACAGTTTTATGTTTTGAACTAAACATCCTTAACATTTAACTCTCTCTATACACTAATAGTTGAAGGCATTTCTATCCCAGAACTCAGATGGTACAGAAAGAGAGTACAGGGCTTAGAAAAATTATTTCTGACAGTCAAAAAATAACAATGAAAAACAAATATGTTTCTAAATTTGGGAAAAAAATAAAAACAATGTGCACAACAAATACAGCACACCAACCTCCTATTTAAATAAACAAGGAAGAGATTTGAAGGAAAAAAACGTCACAGATTCTGAGTAATTGGGGTCAACAGTGAACAATAATGGTGACTGCACCGAACAAGTCAGAAAAAGACTCACTTCAGCAACGCAGAGACTAAACAGTATGAAAAAACTATGGCACAGCACCTGCAAGGGAGTTAAAGTAAAAATACTGAGACCATCTGTCTCATAGCAACTTATGGATGTGAGTTATGGAGTCTTAATCAATGAAGACAAAAACCGCTGGTTTTGAACTGAAATGCTAGAAAAAGAATTCTTAGAATATCATGGGACTAAAGTGGAGAAGAGAAACCACCAACATCCTACACGCGATCTGAGCATCGAGGAGAATTGGTTCTAATTAACAGCATCCTCTCTTGAAAGCCAAAGTATTTTGGGCACGTTAAATACTGCTGCAGCCTGGAGAGAATGTTGATGTAGGGAACAGTTTCCAGAGAAAGAGGCAGGCGTATCTGAAAGTGGATACATGACACTTAAGATGCACTGGCTATGAACGCTATATACTATCAGATGCATACTACCGCAGCAAGTGAATAAAGCAAATAAATGAATCCTTCAAACCGAAATACAAAATCTTCTTCTTATACATCTTATCTCTACTCCTAGAATGCCTCACGGCATCAGGATGGGAAGAGACATCTGGAACACGCCATTCTGTTCGCTTCATATAGTGTACTCTTCAGTGTCTCTGATATCTCTACGGTCCATATTCTGTGTGGCATACCTCTGGCTCTGTTACAACTGTATCTATATCACTGCTCTCTGTGGTGCCCTGTCTAATGCCAATCTTGTAACATGGCCAAACCATTTGATTTACTGTCTACCTATAAATACAAAGTTCAGTGTTGGTTCTGTGCCGACTCTCCTTTTGATATCATTGTTCCTAAGACAATTTTTCCTCACTTCACCTAGCACAGTATGTAACCATTTCATTTGTGTCATGGCTATTTTCCTTCTGAGGATTAACTGCTTTAACTGGTGCTCATCAATTTTGCTACTGGTGGTTCTTCCTTTTCTGTGGAATGTCATCACTTTGTTTTGTCTATGCTGACCTTCATATCACAGTGCAGTTTTCTTTTACTTGTATTGCTGTTGGTGCTATGATTGCCTGGTCACTGGCGAAAAGCAATTTATTTAGTACTTCTCTGATGTTGTACCCTTGACTGGTGTTAACTGATTTGCAAGTTTTGTCAACATATGTGATAAACAGTAGAGGTGATAGAAAGCACCGCTGTTTCACTCCAGATTTATCTAATGTAGAACTTGTCTGACATTCCTAGCTGCCTGCTAAGAAAGTCGCACAAAGCATGAAAACTAGGTCATGCAATGATCCCCAGAGGTAAACAGTTCATTCACGAACCGAACGACGCAGCCGTAAAGAGAACCTATGACCTTCGGAGCATGAGGCAAAATAAAACCATCTACGGCAGTGTTTCTCAAACTTTTCTTGGTCGCTACACCTTTTTTTTCCAAGGCGCCCTAACCTAAGTAAAAGTGACTATTTGTGCCTTACTTAAATAAAAGCTTTTACAATATTTTGCGGTGCCCTTGTGAAGAGGTGCAGTTTGGGAATCACTGATCTAGTCAGGTTAGGAAGCACAAATAGATCATCATGGTCTGAAGAGAATGTCGCCGTGAGCAGTGACCAGGGAATCTAGTCGACAATCAGCATTCAAGAAAATGGTGAGATGGATATACAATAAGACTGCTATAAGTAAAAGTGGAATTCTGCACTTGCTGCTGAAGATGGGGATGGAGCACTTATGGGAATGTCCAGAGTGCTGTGATGTTGATTCTTAATTAAACATTCTAGACCCATTTTTTTTTTTTTTTACAGATATGATAGTTGATGTGCTTGATATCAAGCAGCTGCTGCTACTTCCCCGGACCCTTATTAGACTAGGTTGACCTGGTTACCTAAAAAAAAAAAAAATAGCAGCTTCTTAGGAATGAAAACATGATGCCAAGAGCAGACAACACAAACATAACAGCAGCAATAACATGGTAACATAATTGTAACCCCCCCCCCCCCCCCCCCCCCCCCCCCCCTTTGTTTTGTTAATTATTAGAAGTCACACACATTAGAACTAGACATGTTTTTTTTTCTTCTTCAAACAATTATAATTCTGTTCATACATTGTTTATGGTCTAATATATTCTGAATGGAGCAAGACTTTCACAAATTTCCTTGGCTCCGAGGTCCACCCAGTCTTAAATGGGTATACAGGTAAAGTCCTAAGAAGTAAAGGTGGCCGGCATGATGTTGACCCCATCACCAATCGAGTGCCGATTGGTTTATAGAATATGCCCAATACACCTGAAGGCGAACAAGGGTCCTTAATATTTTCAAGATCAATTAGCACTCAATGGGTGACGTTATCAATATTATGCCATCAAGCATCTTCGCTTATCAGAACACTTCCTAGTACACCTCGCAGGCTGGGTAAAAATAAGAGCCCAGATAATCTCAAAATAACCCCCTCCCTGATGGGAATGCAAATACCTGTCCATCAGGCTGCAGGCAAACATGCAAGCCACTGCGCTACTGCTGCTGAACAAGGAAAAGTTAGGCTTGGTTATTAAACAAAGACTTACAGGATATAATGGAGGCGGCTGAGCAACTGCTGGCAGAATTTCTTCCCTGCCAAGACCCAGGGCTTCTATATTTATAGACAGACCCCTGCCTCTTCCACGACCTCGGCCAGCCATACTGAAGGAAAGCAAATGTCGCTCTACTGAAATGTGTTTACAGCATAGCAGGATCAATCATTTTTCTGCACAGCTGACCAGGAAGTGTACAGCATTCATGGTTTATCTAGAAATATCAAATATATCCATTATACAATATAGAAATATCAAATATATCCATTATACAATATCGAAATGTCAAATATATCCATTATACAATATAGAAATGTCAAATACATCCATTATATTATAGATAATACATTTTGTCAAATGTGAATAACAGTATCAGATAATTCCCCTCTTCCCTGTTAGGAATTGGGAGCCCCATTGCATGGGAGAAAGGAAAAAATGAATAGACCCACTGCTTCCCTAACAAGCACTGTTGTAAAAGATGATTAATTAGGGATTTACTGAAATCTGATGGACTGAAGGTGTAGATAACACAGCCTAGCTGTAAACCACAACTCAACATGCCAGTCAACAAATACCATTTTAAGGGCGAACACAGAAGTCCACCTCCTGCAAAATCAAGACTCACCCAGATCAAAACCTGGAAGTGCTGCCTGTAGCGTGACATGAAAGCTGTGGACAAAAGAGCTGGCAAGTCTCACCCACAGTGAGTCGGTCAGTATTGTTGCTACTGATGTTTACACTGGTTCTAGAGAAGAATTCTTACAATGGAAAGGGGGGGGGGGGGGGGGGGCAACACAAACTGATTGCTCTTAATCTCTCTTGTTTAAGCCTACCTCACTATCACAGGGTGGATCCTGTTATTTTCAGTAATATATAGTGAAAAGCTGGGGTTTCAACACCCCAGCAGAAAACTTAGATGGGATAAACCATAAGGTAAATGCAAAGGCAACACTTTAAACAGCAACCCTAGGAGATGCAATCGTTTGTTTTGTTTACAACAATTTGTGTCCCTTAGAGTCGCCATTTCAATTATTGACATCCACACACAGACTTTAGAGGGACTGTGTGTGGATGCACATGAAGCAGAAATTACTGTAAAAAAGTGTGAAGCAGAAATTACTGTATTAGAGTGTGAAGTAGAAATTACTGTAATAAAGTGTAACAAGTAATGAACTGTTTTGTTACTTGTCTTCTTTTCAGTGGCAGTTTAGTCACAGGAAGCTACTTTTTGGACAGCACCTGAACTTACTGAGCGATAATTATATAGAATCTGACAATGTAAGTCCTCAATTCAGCGACTGTAGAGGACACATTCCACTGTTTGAGGTTAGGGTAAGATTTAACCCTACCCCTAACAATATTAAATAATAAAGAAAGAATAGACTGAGTCCCCTAGGGTCACCATTTGAAGAAGTGCCAATGCAAAACCTGGTTCCAGCTACTGCTGCTAAGTGGAGTGCACGGTGGGACACTATGAAGTGTTAATTTCACATTCACACTAATACTATACTGATACAGAAACAGGCTCTCCTCTGAACGTCTTCCTAATATTATGGCAGCCATAAGGGGCTCAGGCATATGTAAAATGCGGACTGTCTGCCAAGGAACAAATCGCGGCAAAACTAGGATTACTTGACACTTTCAAAAGACGCAACATTGCAGACGATAAAAGCGACCGTTGACAGTTTCGAGCGTTTCTGCAGACGATAATAGCGACTACTGACAATTTCGAGACATTACAGACGATGACAGCGATATACGGGGAGACCACGCGCTCCAACGCAGATTAGCAATACTGTTCGTCCGACTGAGGATTTAGCAGCGGTAGATGTCAGACCTGCCGACCTGTATCCTCACACTTTTCGGCATGTGCAGAACGTGATTAAACTCACTGCCGAGCGTATCTCCCGCGCCGCTTCGCGCGGATGGGGGGGGGGGGGGGGGGGGGTTTAAACTAGGTGCCAGGGACTCACAAGCAAATTAATTGGATGAAGTTGCAGGAGATGTGGTAGCTGCTGCTCGTGAGTCCCAGCCATCTAGTTTAGCCCCCATCCGCGCTGCTCGTAGCGGCGGATACGGTCGGCGGTGAGGCACAGTCACAGAAACAGGTCAGCAAGTAACATATCGCTGAGACCCTGTTAGAGCATTTGTTTCGTTATAAGGAGCCGGCATATTTTTAGCCCAGAAACATATCCATTACATTACATCAGAATAATCATCATTATAAAGTGCCTTTCTGGTGTGGGCTATCAGGCCTCTTCCCAATATACAATGATACAATCTTCAAACTTTTTAGCTTCCAAGGAATTAAAATGATTGTTCCATAAAGCCATATCGTATCTCTGCTGGAGCCTCACTCAAGAAATTATTAAAATGTAAAATTAAAATTATTCGGCGTGCTTATAGAAGTTTAATTAATTGTCAGATGATTTAAATAAATGTCACTCTAATTCAAAGTATGATATCTTTAATATATTAAAAGTTACTATATATTTCACCGTTTACTGTAACATTTTAAATAGTTAAACTGTTAAAATAAGAATTTACACGTGTTTCAGTTCTAACTTTACGGTCTTGCTTCCTTGGGTTGATCCTGGAAGTAGAATTTATAAACAAAGGGATCCTCTAGTTACTTTAATATTTATGACCAAGGAAAAGATATGTTATTTCTTTTAGTTTAAAAAATATTTGTTATACATATTTCTAAAATAATTAACAATTTTTGTTAAAAAATGGCTGGAATTCTTCTATACGTAGAGACAAGAGTAATACAGTTCATACAGAGTATGCACTTCACAGTGATGTAGATAGCCTACAATGTTACCTCCCAAATTCGACCTTGAACTCTATTATCGTCTGGGTTTTGTGAAAGTTGTCTTACTTCGAAAAGTGACTCAGGCACTGCCAGTTGGATTACTGTAATGTCTTTTATTAGCACTTAATGTTACAGAAACTAAATGTTGTATACTCACAGTAGCATTATTGATGTCTGTTGCATTGGTGATTGAGTTTTTAATAATATGTTTTATTTTGACAATAAAATAATTTGTTACCAAAAGTGACAATAGTCCTAGTTAGCTTAGTGTTAGTTTAATAAAAAATAATGAAGTAATTATTATTTTTAATCTTATCTCAGATAGTACAAACTTCAGTTTTGTTGTTGCTTGAAAGCCCCACGCAGGCTGCCGCCGGGGCCCAAATATGGGTTGAACGGGGTTTCTGGGACCTGTCCCCAGGTGATCCTCATCCCAATGGTGGCACTCTGCGTCACCAGGTGTTTATCGCTCTGTGTGATATCATGGTGGAGTTGAACATCATTTTTTCTTTTCTGGTATCAACCCTCGCGAATAACAATGTAGTATATTGCATTACTGCTGTTTTTCCCCAGACTTTAAAAATTATGTTACTCTTTCGTGTTGTAATTATAAACCTGCATTGGGTTGAATTGTTTAAGGTTTATCACTGATCCAGCTTTGATGGACTCTCAAGTAAAAGTTCAGTATATAAAACTTTACTAAAGTACATATTTTTGTAAAATGATTCAAACTAATTAGTATTTTAATTTGACTTGGCTGGGGCATATTAGAGAATGTCAGATAATAGAGACATAGGGAAAACAAGAATAGACCCACTGCCCTCCCAAAAGCATGTCTTAAGATTCAACTAATTGGGAGCTTCCTTCAAAGTCAGAGTGCATGTGCCTGAGAGGCAGAGAACCATCAGTCTGCATACAGATGAGTCAGATCAGTAAAACATATGCGCATGCAACACTTAGGTTTTGGAACAGGACTGCAGTCCAGAAGTGGAGGAACAACCAGAACTTTCCGCCAGCTGGTGAACGCAAAGAAGAAGAATAGAGAGACAAAAACTGCCTACAAACAAAGATGAATGGGAGTAGACCATGAGGCAGACCAAGAAGACCATGGAGAGATATTATACAGGCAGACTTACAAACACTCAAATCACCCACTGGAAACACAAGGACAGTCACAGATAAATGGATGCTGGTGATAACTGCAGCTATGAAACTCAAGGGCTCAGGAATGCTGAAGAAGAAGAATTGTTTTACTTTGCAAGACTGATTTCCCCAAACATTATTTCTTATTTTTGGTGATATATTCATCATCAAATACCTTTCTGACTGCTGAGGGCAGTCAAGCTTCTCCACGACATTGCAAACTCCACTCAAGTAATAGAACAGGCTCTTGCCTATGTGTGACAGAGCGCTTAACTCTTGGAGTTCCAGAGCGTTTAGCATCACAGGCCCAAGGGGTAGTCAAGAGAGGCTTAAAATCGGCGCATTATGCGTCCATTGGGCTTCTATGCAGTAACCTATGAACGTATGATGCGTTCCTTGGGACTCAAAAGAGTTAATAATTGTTTGCCTTTCTATCTTCTAATTATATCTTTAAAATGTTTTTTTAAATGTCATTTCCTACCTTTTCACCCGCAATTAATTTTTCACTGTAGGTATTATGTTCTTGCGAAAAAAATGTTTAAAAACTTGTGTCTCATGATGATTTGAACACATCTTGACCATTTCCCCGGTCACTACCCTCCTCCCCTTCCCAAATCTTGATATTTCCAATTTTGTTGGTATTAATCTACAGCGGTCTACAATATGACCTGTTTGACTGAATATAAATTCACACAGAATTTGTTTGATTGTTTATATATAATGACAACTGTTGAAACAGCATACATAAATACATTGATCAAATGTCTATATATATAAAATACCATTACGTTAGCCAGGGTTTTGTATAGTGTATTTTACATATATCCTGTCTAAGTGTTTACTGTTGCTTTAATCAGATACATCCAAAATGTCCATTGCTGTTGCTGTACGCTATGGAAGGATTACTCTGGGTCATGTTCGAAGTCTGTCATGTGAGTTTTCCATTCAATACTTATCATGAGTTTTTATGCTGGAATACAGCTTGATAGCGATTTTCCTTCAAAGTCATTGTGCATCTGCCTGAGCGGCAAGGAACAACCAACTGCACACAAATAAGTCAGTAAAATTGATGTATACACAAAAATCAGGTCCTGGCACAAAGCCAAAGTCAAAATGGACGAACAACCAGGACTTTCCACCAGAGCTTACAGCTGATGGACAAAGAAGATGAAGAAGCTTGATGGCAGCTCTGTGTGAGAGGTTGTCTAGAGTTTAGCCTACTTTAAGGTATTCGCCGGTCAGCTCAACCCCCAAGTTCAAGATATACTTTTAAATGCCAGGAATGCAAGATCATTTTGTTACTTTCCTTTTACCTTAGGTTGTAGATGATGTTATTAAGGGTTCAGCTGGCAAGGTACTTGATGATGATGATTCTTTTATCAACTTTATTCCAAGAAACAGTGACACTTCTTCTGTGATCTGGCTACACTATTTTCTCATTGTTGTGGTCAGTTTGCTTCTATTGTTCTCAGGGGATGCACCAGGACTAAGGCAGAAACTGGTCAAGACTTGTCAACATCTCTCCATGGTCATCCTAGAAACAGGTTCCTAGCCCACATAGATAGGACTGATGTTTTCTCAAAAATTTGAGTGCATCTGCCTGAGAGATGAGGAACCAACAGTCTGCAAACAAATAAGCCATATCTGACAAATGGATATGCAAGCAGAACTCCAGTTCTGGAACAAAAGAAAAGACCATAATTGAATGAAATCTAGAACTTTTTGCCTTCGTTTACTGCTGGTGACCGCTAAGACTCATTGTGACGTTTTTTCTAAATATATTAACACCTTAGGGAAAGATAGTCATTACGTAACAGCTTTTCATGCATTTATGTTTGGAACAATAATTACTGCCCTGGCCAAATTCGCTGTGCATTTGTTTCACATGTTAAAGTTTGTCTTATTAGTTATAACCTTACCTGTGTATGTTTGTGTTGTGAAAAAAAAAACCAAAATAGGTTGTTTTATCAAACAAACTAGCTCACAGTTAATTGTTTTTGGTCAGCGACAAAAAATATTATATTTGGTCTTCTTTTTGGCAAGATTTCTGTGGGGTCGCTGGGCAGTGATGAGCTATGAAATTTTTTTTTACAGAAAGCAAATATTTTCTTACCTCTCTATTCAGTGGAATGTGATTGACCATGGAAGTGATCTCTAACTATCAGGTTAAAGAAAACCCTATCTGCAGACATTAATGGTTTTACAAATTATTCATAATAGTTGTTCTTTTTGTTAGGAGTGGATGGGAAGGAGGGGTTCATAGTGAAATGTTAAATCCATTTATTTACCTTTTGCTGTGAAGGCTGTGGGTTTGATTTCATACTCCGTGCCTCAGATCAAGGGTTGCAGGAAGAGTGCAGGACCACTCAACTAAGTTTACCCAGTGGTCAAAATGTTGAAAATTGTTATTGTTGCAGGCCAAAGGCTCGATCCCCAGCTTGGAAAAATCATTAGTACGGTAAAGATAGCAATGATCCGCCAGCCACTTGCTAGGCCCCTGTGGGCTGGATTCAGCCAGTGGTCCACCAGTTTCTAATCCTGCTCTAGAAGTTGTTGCTAGAGCTCCAGGGTGCGTGCTTTCAACATTGCTCCTATATGGTGACCATCAGCTCTGTGGAGTAAGACTGAGCCATCTGGGATAAAACCTGATGCTGTGAAGTTTATTTTTTGGGTCTTTTAACATCTTTCTCTTGTTGCAATTAGATGCCAGCGTTCACCATACAAAGTTCCTGGAGCTGGTTCAAGGCCTAGTATCACCAAGCCCTCCTGCAGTGGCAGTAGTGTTTCCCAGATGTATGTCAACTAGCAGCAGTGGGTCCAGTAATAGTGGAGATAATGTCTCGGATGGGGGAGACAAGGCAAGCAGTGCCAGTGCTGGCGGCAGTGGCAAAGGAGATGATAAGGGTAGAGGCGGCAAGAAAGGATCTAATCAGCTGCGCTGCCCTAAGTGTGGAGACCCATGCACACATGTGGAGACTTTTGTTTGTAAGTTCTTTTGTAATTCTGAAAGTCTAAACTTACAGGAAATTAAGGGTTAATGCAGTTGGTTATCATCACCATTATTATTTGGCTTACCAGATGGTGCTAGTGTTTGTGTCTCCACAGATCTCAGTCTTTGATGTTCTAAATAAATCTTCTTGATGATATTCTTCCGTGCCACAGTTTTAGACAATCCAGCGTAATTTCTCTTATTCTGCCTCATGTCCCAGTTGATTCCAGTGATTATCATTTTATCCACTGCTCTCCCTCTCACCCCCTCCCCCCCCCCCTTTTTTTGGTTTCAAGTCATATGACTAATGAACTTTCATGGTCTCTCCCTAGTAGTTGCAAACAGTAATCTATATTTGTTAGCTTTTTTTCTGTCACTAGCCATTGTAAGTTTTTTTTTTCTGCCTGTTTAAGCTATTTGCAGCATTTGTCTCTGAAACTGCATCATAATTTAGGAATCTTCAAGATTTTACTGGTTATAAACTCTGGCAGAGAGTTCTGGTTGTTCATCCACCTCTTAACCTTTTTTTTTTTGGGACTTCTGGACTTTAAACTTACTCCAGAACTTGAGTTTTGTATGCACATCCATTTTAGAGATGTGACTGATTTGTGTGCAGACTGTTGGTTGCTTGCCTCTTAGGTAAATGAACTCTGAACTAGAAGGAAACCTCTAATTAGTTGAGTCTTATTACGACGTACTTGTTAGGGAGGCAGTGGGTCTACTCTTTCCCTTGCCACCCTACCCTCTAACCCCCTCTCCCTGCACGCCAAGGGGCCTTCAGAACCCAGGCAGGAAGTGGGAGCTGTTTAACAGTAAGAAAGAAGAAGAGGAACTGGAAAAGGACATTTTCTTGCCAGTGCTGCATTGATCATATGATTTAAAGGTTAGTTGCGTGTCCTTTACAGGACATTGCAGAACCAACCCCAACAGCCCCTGGCTGTTGTGTGGTTTCTCTAGTTCTCTAGGCAAATTTACGTCCAGTAGTTTGCCATTGATCATATGATACTAAACGAATATTATTATAGACCAATTGGCACTTAATTGGTGATGTGGTCAGTATCAAGCCAGCTAGCTTTACTTCCAAGGACTTTATCTGGTACACATTTTATGCTGTACTGACCTGCGAGCGAAAGTCATTTGTGAAAAAACAGCAGGCTCGATGCCGATTCGAACCCTAGACCTTTGGGCAGAGTAGAACTGAAAATTAACAAATAACAGTTTTACAAGGCTGGGTTCAATCACTGAGCCATCCTGATTGGGGAAAGTGCCTGGTATTGCAGGAATTAGTTCCAGAACACAGTCTTGATAAACAAGCATGCTAACTACTATGTTACAACAGCTCCTTAACTGATTCCTTAACTATTATATGGTCATCCAGTGCAGGCAGTCTCATTTTAGGACGACTATTTGCTATCCTTGATTGTGAAGCGAAAGCTAAATGCATTTTAAAACAAATGCCTGAAGGAAAATGGTGAACATGAAATTAATTCAAGAAGGGTGAAGATATAAGAACCATTTCTGGGCAGCCACTGGTATCAGCATTATAAAACAAAGAAGATTGTGCTGTATTGGGCACATGAGAATAAACGAGCAGAGAATCACCACACAGGCACTGAAAAAGGAAATAATTGGATTGAGGAAGCCAGGATAGGCAAACCTTAAATGAATGTTGAGGAGAAAAGCCAAAGATACTGGACTGGATTCCGTCCATGATGTTGAAGGGATTGTACAGGAATGAACAGAATGGAGAATTAGACTGCGAGCCAATGCTGCAACTGGACGATGAAACTACCCTTGATGATTATAGTACCATGTTTCCCTGAAAATAAAACTATCAGCACCATGTAGCAGATCCTTTTGCAAAACTCTCATCATGGTCTGCCTAAAGAAACTTGATCTCTCGCCAGTTCTTCAGCCTCATGAACTTTCATATTCAAGGAGTCACTTATATTCTACGCCCATCTTCTTGTTGGTCGGCCCCTGCCCCTCCTTCCTGATACCAAGCCTTCTGCTATAATTTGTTTCCGCATCCGCCATGGCGCTTGATATGAACAAAACATTTCAGTTTCCTAGACAAGGTGCTGTTTATTAGCCTAAATTCTTTAATATTCAGATCTTTTAAAATGGCTTCTTTTTCTATGGTATTCTGAGAATCTTTCTATAGCATTTCAGCTCAAAAGCCCCTATTGTTTTTTTTAAGCACCGGGAGACAGTCCACAGCACAAATCTGTATGTTGCTCCATATAACTAAAATATAATATAAATAAAATCAGCCCCATAAATAAGCCGTAGCTTGATTGTTTTAAGGAAGCTTCCCCCCCAAAAAAAATTGATATCCTGTTGAGATTCTGAGATCTACATTCTTTGGTCCTGTGTTTAGAAGGAGAAAACTGGAGTACATCGTGACAGTAGGAAAGCTGAAGGGAAGACAGAAAAAGACAGAGAGAAAAGATGTTAGACAGTTTGACATCATGCCATGGAGGATCATCCGTATCAGAGTTGACTGACAGTACACGGGACAGAAAGTTATGGGTAGACACCACATAGCATTCACTTTAAGAAGAAGATATTCTGAGCTAGAATGAGACTATGGCCAGTGGTTCTACAGGAAATGGAGTTGCAAGTAATTCAGGCCAGAATTCAGGATTTGAAGAGTTACAGCAATGTTTCAGAAGAAGATGACATGACTGTATTTGAATAAATTTAGAGTTTTGTTTAAGTTTTGATTTTGTAACTGAAAAAAAAAAGAAGACATCTCCAAATATAAGTGGTAGTGTATTTTTCAAAGCACAGATTTATAAGACTTTTTTTTTTTTTTTTGAGAAGCAAAACAGTTTCTCAATCCATGTTGAATCCCTTTTTTTGTCATTTGTATTTTTAAAAAATGTAAGCTACCAGCTGTGATGCTCGCCTACCGATCAGAAGCTTGTGGGTTAGGGTCCTAGTGCCAGACTTTTTTCAAAAATGACATTGGCTTCCAGGTTGACCCAGGCTTAAATGGGTAACAGTTACAGACCTGGGAAGTAAAGTAGGTCGACATCATGCCGACCACATCACCCACAGAGTGGATGCCTAGATACTTAAATTTCTGAACTTGTCCTAAATAACACCTTTGACTTTTATTATACATTTAAGCACTATTATTTTCTTGGAAATCACCATTACTTCTGTAATGTAACTTGACATATTATTTTGTTTCATAACTTTTTTTTTTTTTTGCAGCATCAACTCGCTTTGTGAAGTGTGAGAAGTGCCATCACTTTTTTGTGGTACTGTCTGAGACAGACTCCAAAAAAAGTTTCCGGGAAATTCGAGAAGAAAAGGTCACCCAGAAAAAGAGAGCCCCACCACCTCCAAGAAAGGTATTATATGTGGAACATCATGTTTTCCCATATGGGTTTAATGGTCCCATTTGGGTGGGGGGGGGGGGGGGAGTGGGGGAGATAGATCCACTGCCTCCTTGTCAGGCGTACTGTAAAAGACGACTGATCGGAGATTTGTTTTCTCCGGAGTCAGAGCTCATCTGCCTGAGAGGCAAGGAACCACCAGTCTGCATACAAATAAGCAAATCTGTAAAATGGATGTGCATGCAAAATTCAAGTTCTGGAAAAAGACTTCAGTCCATAAGTAGACGAACGACCAGAACCTCACATCAGAGTTTACAGCCTATGAACGCTAATGAGAAGAAGAACAACAACATGTTCATATTCACAGCTGCACGTAACTATTGGAGGGAGTGTATTTCCTCTTTGTGGTTGTTACCTGAAGGTTTGACTTTGTGTGCCCCATTTTGGGCATCACTTTAATAGGAACTTTAAAGCCAACATGCAAGCAGGTAATCGCTGATCTACCACAGCTTCCATATTATTAATTTATTGTTACTTATCCGTGTCAACATCCTAGCGTGTGGATCCTGCTTATTCATACTCTATACTTCAATGCAGCAACCATCTCAATGTCTTCATCTCAATGTACCCAGCAGGAGTTGATTGGCATAGCTTCTTTCTTTGATTTACAGGAACTGTAGTAGTGTTTACAGAAGAGGCCTGGTATTAGTCGGATTGTTGTGGGCTGTGGATGTTGTGGCCCTACAGGGAACCCAATTATTATTAATTACTGTAAAAAAAAAAAAAAAAGACATATTTGTATTCTTCTTTTGCCTTTTATATCCCAGTGGAGAATAGTCTCTAAACCAACTCATGCCAAGTCATCCTATCATTTGCTCTCGCCTGCAGTTTACCCAATGCACCCCTTATCTTTTCACCCTTACTCTCTAGTTCCCTTCCACTTGTGTTTTTTGGTCTGCCTTTATTTCTATGCCTCTGTGAGTTCCAGTGTAAAGACATTCTGGTTGTATTGTTCTCATGTTTATTCATCATGTGTTCTATCCATTGCCAGCATCCTTTCCTCTACATTCTTTAGGAAGCAGAGAGAGACCAAGAGAAAAGATGCTGGATGGTTTGACATCATGGCATGGAGGATCATCTTTATCAGAGTTTATTGAAATAACATGAGAAAGAAGGTTTTAGATAGACATGACTGCCAACCCCAAACTTCATGGAATTTAAGAAGTTTTGTTTTTTTCCTTAAATTCTACATTAGTCTCTTCTTCTTCTTCTTCTTCGCATTCACCGGCTTTAAACTCCAGCAGAAATGGCTGGTTGTTTGTCCACTTCTGGACTCTTTTCCTGTTCCAGAAACTGAGTGTTGTTTGTACATCTGTTTCACGGGTCTGATTCATTTGCATGCAGACTGTTGGTTCCTTGCCTCTCAGGCAGATGTACTCTGACTTTGAAGGAAGTTCCCGCTTAGTCGACTCTTATGACATGCTGTTGGGCAGGCAATGGGTCTATTCTTGTTTTCCCCACAGTGGGCCCCCAGAATCCGCACATTAGTGATTCTATATACCATTTAATTCCCAGTAACCAATTAATGTTCTTAGTTTATTGTATTTGAAGACTGTCAAGTGTAAAACAAGACTATATTCACCACCCATCTCTCTGCAGATTTATGAATTTTTAGACCGATATGTGGTTGGCCAAGATCATGCAAAGAAGGTCCTGTCCGTGGCTGTGTACAACCACTACAAGAGAATCTTTCATAACCTACCGGCATTAGCCAGCAGTCAAAAACAACCAGACACGTCCACTTCCCAGACTGGACAGCATTATCCTCACACATTCTCTCCCCGGGGTAATTGTTTGTATACAGTTGTCTCAATAATGTACTTTTGCATATTAATTTCTCATTCTTCTTCTTCTTATTCACGTTTACCGGCTGTAAACTCTGGCAGAAAGTTCAGGTTCTTCGCCCACCTCTATACTTTAGTCTGGTTCCAGAACATGAGTGTTGAGTGCACATCCGTCTTACAGATCTGATTTGTTTTTATGCAGATTGTTGGTTCCTTGCCTCTTAGGCAGATGCACTTCGACTTCAGAGGAAGCCCCCAGTTAGTCGACTCTTAGGACATACTTGTTGGGGAGGCAGTGGATATATTGTTGTTTATCCTAAAATGGGGCTCTAGAACCCACAATCATCTGTCTTGTTTACTTTCAGCTAGTTCTAACGCAGAATGTCCTGCATGTATTGATGCCATACTGTCCAGTATCTTCTGTCTCTGTCTTCCTTTGCCTCCCCCCCCCCCCCCCCCCCCCCCAACTTTCCAGTTCTCTCCTTTTCATGACATGACCAGAGAATGTAGATTGTCTCCGTCTGATGTGTGCAACCATTTTTCTCCGTGATTCTGTTGTTAGACCTGTACAGCTCTAATGTTTTTTAATTAACAGTTCAATACAGTTAAAGGATATTAATCACAAATAATATTTTTTACCTACAGAACTAGCCCTTGTTCACCTGTAAAACACATTGATCTTTTACAGCAGTGATTTCCAACTTTGATGACTTGTGAAGCCCTTTGTAGAATCAATTTATATGTGGAGCAATAATAGTGTTTGGAAAGAAGGAAAGAGAGCTGAGGAAGAAGGAGTAGATAGTAAGAAAATGTAAAGTAATGAGACATCTAATTAATTGCTCACTACCATGCAATGCAATTACTTTTTAAAAACTGAAATTTACCAAAATAGGCAGTTTATTCACAACGACCACCAGTACATATATTGTTAAATCTTGGCCATACTTAAAAGTTCTTCCATAGTTTAATAAATCAACTTGATTGTGTCACAATCGATTTTTACATCATTGTTTACAACAGCAACTGTAAGGTCTATAAAATATTGTAAAAACAGTTAATGTGACAGCAAATGTAAGGTCCATAAAATATTGTAAAAACATTTAATGAGACATACATGGCTGCGTCTCTTGCACATATTTCTCATTTAAGGTTTAATTGATGATAACTGCAGGCAGATGCGGATGTCTGTTTTTTGCATTTGCACGGCTTTTGTATTTTGTTTTGGTTGCTTAATAGTGATTTGTAGTTGACAAAGGTAGCAATACTAATTTTCTGTTTCTGACAAAAAAATTTAAATCTTGTAACTACAGCCTTCCAGCGCCCCATTGTGAGGGAAAACAAGAACAGTTCCACTGTCACTCCAGTAAGCATGTCGTAAGAGTCGACTAATTGGGAGCTTCCTTTGAAGTCAGAATAAAATAGATGTAGATGCAAAACTCAGGCCCTGGCGCATAGTTAAAGTCCAAAGGAACAAACAACCAGGATTTATACCAGAGTTTACAAGTGGCTAACACAGCAAAATAAAAATTAAGATTATTGATCTGCATTAAAAGAAATTTTTTTAGAAAGAAATATATGAAGAGAGGTAAGCAGCAGTAGTAGTAGATTTTTACCCCACTAGGACATCACACAAGCGATAAACACCAGAGGACACAAAGTACCACCATGTGGATGAGGATCACAGTGGAGAGGTCCCAGAAACCGCATTCAGTCATTAGACCCTATTTATGGTCGGGCTATATTGCGGCCCCTGGCAAGAGCCAGGATGGGGCTTCAAAACAATGAAAAATGCATCCCACAAGGGGATGACTAGTTGAAAAAGTATTTGTTCCTTAATTTTGAACAACAACATCTTGGAGTCCTCTTTTCAGGGGGGTGTTTTATAAATGTTATATAATTGAAAATTCCATATTTTGTTACTTTTCAAACAGTAAGGCATCTTTAATATGTTGGTAGATATGCTGCAGATTGCTGTTACAGGACCCCTGGGTCCTAATCTTGGTGGTCAGCAGTCGCAGACAAACAGCCCTGGAGAGGAAGCCAAGAAATCTGACATTCTAGAAAGTCATTCTCAGGAGCTGCAGCTGGAGAAAAGTAACATTTTAATGCTGGGACCAACAGGATCAGGTCAGTCCTTCAATACTGTTTGTTAATTGTTCGCTGTAAGTGTCTGTATTGTAATTGCATGGTTTGATTATGATGAAACTCGGGGACTGTTGCTATGTATGTCAATAGATTCTGACCTTATCAGCTACTACTTGATATAGTTGATTTCATTGAAACTAAATATCCAATTCTTCTTCTGCTCCTCCTTTCACAACCACCACCTTTTGCTACTTTTTTGTTCTTGTTCTTGTTCTTTTTCTTCTTGAGCTTTTTCCTCCTCATCCTTCTCATTCATATCATTCTCTTGCCTCTTCTTCTTCTTCTTCTGCGTCTTCTTTTGTGTATATATCCGATCATTTCAAGTGACACACAACATTTCTATGCTTCACATAGAAGTGCACAAATTAAAAAAATGTGACATAAATTAATTGATATTATTGACAAACAATCCACGTCTTCTGGCATACAGGGCTAGACCTGTATTTTGTAGACCAATTGGAACTTTATGGGTGATTTGGTCAGCATCATGCCGGACGCCTTTACTTTCCAGGACTCCACCTGGTACCCATTCAATCTGGGGTCAACCTGGAAGCCAAGGTCAATTTTTGGACAAATCCGGTACATCAGGACCCGACCCCATGACCTTCCGATCCGCAGACAAGATTTATATTTGTAGGATATTTATACATAAGTTGATAGAGCATCATCACCATACGGTGAATCATTGCGTCGATAGAAAATGTACACTGAGTTGACTCATCCTTACTGCACATCCAAATCATTCAGTTCATAGAAGGCATAGGAAAGAAGTGGAAACCCAGAGGACGCACTAGACCAGTGTTTCCCAATGTGGGGCCTGGGTCACACAGACAGGGAATTCGTTAAGAGGGACAATTTGAAAGTTTCCTACTGTCATGATTTACTCCAGTTTTCTGCTTCTCAAAGAATGTATATTGTCTTTTTCTGTTGTAGGCAGTCAATTCTCTTTGTGAGTCAGCTTCTTTCATAAGTTATAATTACGACATCAGAAACCGAACCTTTCACCTCCAAATGACAACAGTGCCTTGCTGCAGGAACAACTGTACTGAATACATGACAACTCAGCATCCAGTGAGGGAACCTTTTTTTTAGGGGTGTTGAGATGGTCATGCATCTGTTCCTATAGTGAGGTGCTGTAATCATTTGGAGTTGACAGATCTGATTTCTAGTGTCATAACTATACTTTCAAAGTTTACATTAGCTAGCTTAGCTTTTTGTCCTGTTCTTCTTAACATGAGTAAGTAAAGGATTCTTTTCCACACCTTCGGACATATTTGGCACATAGGGCTAGACCTATATTTTACAATCGGCCCTCGGTGGGTGATGTGGTCAACATCATGCTGGCTGCCTTTACTTCTCTGGACTATACCTGGTACCCACAGGCTGGGGCAACCTGGGAGCCAGTCATTTTTGAAAAAGTATGGTTCTGTTAGAACCCAAACTCACAATGCTTTGATCCGCAGGCATGTGTCTAGCCACTCCACCATGGCAGCTGCCTTTTTTTGTGAGTGCCAGTCAATATATCTTTTAATTTCTTTGTCTTACTGTTTCAAGGGTCCCCAGAGATTTGACTTCATTTTTTCCTTCAATGTATTACATAGTTAAGTCCTCAACTACAAATCAGTGTCTTAATCTTAATCTTTCACTGCAGTCGGGTCACCCCATACTTGCTCCATTCCTGCACTAGTGAAAATCAAATGAAATGTCCCTCACTGTCCATTTGAAAAACTGGTAAACAAACAATTGTCCCAGCACAATCCAGAAATATGTGCATGCAGTAAATGTATACAGCAGTTGCTAGAGGCACCAAAGCCAACAGTTGCCACCAGATATGCAGTTTTCCATTGTTGGAAGTACTCGATCACAACAAGTTGGCCATGCACACGTAAAATTTTTACATAAGGTATTTCACCAGCCCACACGTAAACCGACTATAGCCCATATTGAATACCACGACACAACCGCTGCACAATGTATCTACACAGAGAATGTTCCTGTTAATTTTTGTTTGCATAAAATAATCACTTTTGTTTTGTTTTGTTTAAATTAGTCCTTAGCCCTTTAGATTATATGATTATACATCTTTCCTGTAAGAAATATTGAAAAACAGAATAGTCAGATTGACTGTATAAGTAAATGACACTTTCCGTGCCTTTAGGCACATGCTTTTTTAATACATGTTTTTATACATGTTTTTTAATACATGTTTTTAGAAGTTGATAGATGATGTGGTCTACTTTACTTCTCAGGAAATTTCCTGTTGCCCATTTTATACATAAATTCTTCTGGAAGCTACTGGTCAATTTTGAAAACTCCACCAAGATGCAGATTTAACACTGTCGCCTCAGTAACACTACAAAATATGGGTCATTACACCATGGAAAAAATACTTTATAAAAAATTAGTAATTTTACACAGATCACTAATAAATTTTTAGAAACCTAATTTATCTAATATAAAATTTATATATATAAAGGGAATAATCAGTAAACTTAAACGCAGTGAAGAATTAAATTTAATTCCCTGGAGCCTCAAAATAACAAAATGTATTAAATAAAAATGTATCGGGTGACATGCTATGACCCTGTGACCTCTATCACTGAGGTTTGCAAGAAAATTTGACTTCACTTGGCTCTAAAAAACCTTTTTGTTCCACAGGAAAACTCCTAAATGCTATTTTAAGCTTATATTTTCACACCCTGACCTCTTAAGTTAAAAGTTTACAAGGTGTGAACTCAACCAGTAGCATTAACTATGTCTGTTACTGTAAAGTCAGAAAAGGGACATTTACGGGTAATTGGAACCAATAGGAAGTGTCAGTTTTGTGGCTTCTCGGGGTGACATGGTTAAACTCGCGATCTTCAGAGCAACAGGCAAGAATTTAGCCACTGCACTACTGTGTACCCAGAGGAAGGAATATCAGTAGACTGTTACATATCATGCATCTTTCCCGTGGCAACTTATGGGTGTGAGTCATAGACTCTTTGTCATTGAGGGAAACAAATCAGAGCTGCATGATCTGAACATTGAAAGAGAATTGGCTCATAAACAGCACCCTGCCAAAAAGGTGAGGTATTTTGGCCATGTTAAATGTCATCATGGCCTGGAGAGAACTGTTATAGAGGGAACAGTTTCTAGAAAACAAGACAGAGGTAAACCTCCGTGAAGGTGGACACAAGACATTAAAGATGTACCAGCTATGAAAGCACACAAGGTTAGAGAATTGGCTAAAGAAAGAGGGACTTTCAAATGTGCCATGATGAGAGTTATATTGTGTAAAGGACCAGCTGATTGATGATTATGATAGTCACATATGGATTAGTTGTTTCAGAACTGTTTTTAAATTTTTTTTAAATATAGTATTTTAATATCATATACTTGATTGTAAAATATCTTATACTATTTCAAGGCAAGACACTGCTTGCACAGACATTGGCCAAATGCCTAGATGTTCCTTTTGCTATCTGTGACTGCACAACACTCACACAGGCTGGCTATGTGGGAGAAGATATAGAGAGTGTTATAGCCAAGCTTCTGCAAGATGCTAATTATAACATAGAAAAAGCTCAACAAGGTAATTCCTTTTTTTTTGGTTTTGTTAATTCACTTGAAACTTTTCCCCCATTTTGTTACAGGTTTATTTATGGTTGTTTTGATTTTGCAGTTGAAGATTTTCACCTGTTGAGGTAGTCAGTCTTACAGTTTGTTGTATCTAACAAAAGGCTTGGTAGATTCATCATCAGTCATCATAGGGGGCGACATTAGCAGTCAATAGGAGAGTCGCTTTCAAATCCAGCTGCGACTCGCTGCAGCCCATGGCCGATGTTGGGAACCGGACAGTTTCCAGGGTTCTCTCTAAAAAATGGGTACCAGAGTTAACACTCTAGGATAAATGGAGGAACGTCGCTGTAGCTACAGAGTTTCGTGTGGATGGAGACACAGGCGGACAGTTTCTTATCAGCTGTCCATACTGGTGGCAGAGCACTTATGGTTTATAACCATTTGCAATGACGCTGGTTCACATCTCCCAACTTTACCTTTTTATCATCGGTCAGCAGGTCTTTTACCAAATATCAGTCTCGTAATGGCACGTCCGAAAGTCTCTCTTTCTCTAGTTAATTCTCCAGATCTATGAGCTTTCATAATCAGTGCATCTTCAGTGTCTTGTACCACCTTTATGGAGATCTGCCTGTGCCTCGTTTTCCCAGAAACTACCCTCAGTCACTGTTATCTCTAGGCCACTATATTGTGGCCAGTTGGTAGATTACAGTGTTACTATTCTGTGTACTCCTGGGGGGGGGGGGGGGGGCGGGGCGTCTGGCAATGCACAAGCATTGATCTTTATTACTAACATTCAGCAGAAGTTTAAAAAAAAAAAAATAATGTTGATGCTTGTTTTCGTTGATTTGAAAAGTTCCGCAGGATAGGTTTTAATAATTAAAATAATGTTCCACTCTTAATGAAGCTCTTAACTCTTTCCCTACCAGGCAAGTCATCATATGTTGACTAATTAGTATAAAGACATTGCACATTTCTGGCTCTCTTTCATCACAGATAGCTGTTACATAAATTCATTATATACAAATTGTTAGTTTTACTCCTTGTTTAAAAAAAAACAATTCCTGTGCATATCTAATAGTTTTCAGTCATTCAGCCTTTTAAAGGATTTCATATTTAAAGACACTAAACAAAAGATAACCTATTATGTCTTTGATTAAAAATTTTTTTAGTAAACGACCCTTTTTTTTTAGCCAAGTTCACATAAGATACAAGATGCCAGGCTCATATATTGACCAGTTGGCACTCTGTTGGTGATGTGGTCAACTTCATGCTGGCTGCCTTTTCTTCCCAGGAAATAGCTGGTACCCATTTTAGTCTGGGTCATTCTGTGAGCCAGGATAAGTTTTGAGAAAATTGCCTTGATGCAGATTTTGCCCAAGGCTTCCGTCGTCACTTGATAACTCATCATCTTCATCATGTAGCAGGTCTTTTTGCAGGATGTCGCTTTCATCACAGCCTGCCTTGTTTCGTCATATCTCCCACATCATGCCATTTTCTAACCAAGACGTTGATAAAGGCTTTGGTCAAAATGTTCGATTGTGTTTGTATGCGTCTTTTCCATTCCCTCAGGTGAGCTTTCTTTTCACATTTTGTGTTAAATTTAGTATTTTTTGCAGTCAGCTCGACTGCAGTCACCCCTTATTACTAGTGACATGTTTTCTTAGTGACAAATCTTTCTAGTGGCATGTCTTCATAGTGACATGTCTTCTTGGTGAAATGTCTTCCTAGTGACATGTCTTCTTGGTGAAATGTCTTCCTAGTGACATGTCTTCTTGGTGAAATGTCTTCCTAGTGACATGTCTTCTTGGTGAAATGTCTTCCTAGTGACATGTCTTCTTGGTGAAATGTCTTCCTAGTGACATGTCTTCTTGGTGAAATGTCTTCCTAGTGACATGTCTTCTTGGTGAAATGTCTTTCTAGTGACATGACTTCCTAAGGACATGTCTTCCTGGTTTCATGTCTTCCTGGTGTCATGACTTCCTGGTGTCATGTCTTCCTAGTGATATGTTTTCTTAGTGGAAGACATGACATCAGGAAGACATGACACCAGGAAGATATGACACCAGGAAGACATGTCCTAGGAAGACATGTCTTCCTAGTAACATGTCTTCCTAGGACATGTCTTCCTGGTGTCATGACTTCCTGATTTCATGTCTTCCTGCTGTCATGTCTTCCTAGTGATATGTTTTCTTAGTGACATGTCTTCCTAGTAACATGTCTTCATAGGACATGTCTTCCTGGTGTCATGTCTTCCTGATGTCATGTCTTCCTGGTGTCATGTCTTCCTGATGTCATGTCTTCCTAGTGATATGTTTTCTTAGTGACATGTCTTCCTAGTAACATGTCTTCCTAGGACATGTCTTCCTGGTGTCATGACTTCCTGGTGTCATGTCTTCCTGATGTCATGTCTTCCTAGTGATATGTTTTCTTAGTGACATGTCTTCCTAGTAACATGTCTTCCTAGGACATGTCTTCCTGGTGTCATGACTTCCTGGTGTCATGTCTTCCTGATGTCATGTCTTCCTAGTGATATGTTTTCTTAGTGACATGTCTTCCTAGTAACATGTCTTCCTAGGACATGTCTTCCTGGTGTCATGTCTTCCTGGTGTCATGACTTTCTGATGTCATGTCTTCCTAGTGATATGTTTTCTTAGTGACATGTCTTCCTAGTAACATGTCTTCCTAAGGACATGTCTTCCTGGTGTCATGTCTTCCTGATGTCATATCTTCCTGATGGTAAATCTTCCTGGTGATATGTTTTCTTAGTGACATGTCTTCCTAGTAACATGTCTTCCTAGGACATGTCTTCCTGGTGTCATATCTTCCTGGTGTCATGACTTCCTGATGTCATGTCTTCCTGATGTCATGTCTTCCTAGTGATATGTTTTCTTAGTGACATGTCTTCCAAGTAACATGTCTTCCTAGGACATGTCTTCCTGGTGTCATGTCTTCCTGGTGTCATGACTTCCTGATGTCATGTTTTCCTAGTGATATGTTTTCTTAGTGACATGTCTTCCTAGTAACATGTCTTCCTGGTGTCATATCTTCCTGGTGTCATGACTTCCTGATGTCATGTCTTCCTGCTGTCATGTCTTCCTAGTGATATGTTTTCTTAGTGACATGTCTTCCTAGAAACAAGTCTTCCTAGGACATGTCTTCCTGGTGTCATGTCTTCCTGGTGTCATGACTTCCTGATGTCATGTTTTCCTAGTGATATGTTTTCTTAGTGACATGTCTTCCTAGTAACATGTCTTCCTAGGACATGTCTTCCTGGTGTCATATCTTCCTGGTGTCATGACTTCCTGATGTCATGTCTTCCTGCTGTCATGTCTTCCTAGTGATATGTTTTCTTAGTGACATGTCTTTCTAGTAACATGTCTTTCTAGGACATGTCTTCCTGGTGTCATGTCTTCCTGGTGTCATGACTTCCTGGTGTCATTTCTTCCTGATGTCATGTCTTCCTAGTGATATGTTTTCTTAGTGACATGTCTTCCTAGTAACATGTCTTCCTAGGACATGTCTTCCTGGTGTCATGACTTCCTGGTGTCATGTCTTCCTGATGTCATGTCTTCCTAGTAATATGTTTTCTTAGTGACATGTCTTCCTAGTAACATGTCTTCCTATGACATGTCTTCCTGGTGACATGTCTTCCTGGTGTCATGACTTCCTGATGTCATGTCTTCCTAGTGATATGTTTTCTTAGTGACATGTCTTCCTAGTAACATGTCTTCCTAGGACATGTCTTCCTGGTGTCATATCTTCCTGGTTTCATGTCTTCCAGGTGGTAAAACTTGGTGATATTTTTCTAAAAGAGACATGATATTGAAATAAATATGATCTCTTTTTTACTTTAAAGGTATGTCTGTCTGGGTGAGAATGGATTCAGATAATAATTGGAATGGGATGGATTATAGAATCGGTTAACTCATTGTGTACAGAATTAGTTAACTCAGAAAAGTATTGCATCTGAGTTAAAGTATCAGATGGAACATGAGTATTTAACTTTAGTAAAAAGGGTGGGGATAATAACTTTTAAATGTAATTGTTTTGGATGAACCTAATTAGATTGCTGTATAAAATTAGAATTATATGAGTGTAATGATACAATATTATATTTTCCATTAAAGGGAAAATGACAATACATAGAATTAAAACTTGGTAGCTGAGCCTATGAGAGCTACAGTAGCATAGTGACTAGATGCTCATCTGCTGGCCCAAAGGTCTGGGGTTCAAATTTGCATTTAACTGATTTTCTTTCCCAAAAAGAGGTAATATATGATGTATGTCTCTATCAGTATTCATACATCAGTACTTGTTTTCTTTCAGGCATTGTGTTCTTAGATGAAGTTGACAAAATTGGCTCTGTCCCGGGTATTCACCAACTTCGGGATGTAGGAGGGGAAGGTGTTCAACAAGGTATGCTTAAAATGCTGGAAGGTACCATTGTGAATGTGCCTGAAAGGAACTCTCGTAAACTGAGAGGTGAAACGGTACAAGTTGACACAACTAACATCCTGTTTGTGGCATCTGGAGCATTTAATGGGCTGGACCGAATCATCATGCGTCGTAAGAATGAGAAGGTATGAAATAGTGGTTGGTGCTGCCTGTTCTTTGTTAATGCTGACTGTTGGGTGGTGATGTATACCAAACCTGACATCCCACGTTTGTGCCAATAGCTTTGGATGGAAGAGCACCTTAGGGAGGATTCTAGCTGTACCTTTTTGCCCAAGAAGATCCAGAGAGAAAACCCTAGAACCCATAACTTCCTGGAAATTTTGCATCAGTTTGAAGAAATTTGAATTCCTATTAAAAGATTCCAGAAATCCTTGATTCTCAGTAAAGTGATGCTAAATGTAGGATTAATGTAAGGGGTTTGATTGGTTGTTAGAATTAGGGAAACTTGGTTGTAATACATGAAGTCAGCATGAGACTGAGTACAAAAAGAGACACATTTCACCGAGTGTCAACAGTCAGTAGTGAGACCGAGTACAAGAAGAGACACATTACACTGAGTGTCAACAGTCAGTAGTGAGACCGAGTACAAAAGAGACACATTACACAGAGTGTCAGTAGTGAGACCGAGTACAAAAGAGACACATTACACCGAGTGTCAACAGTCAGTAGTGAGACCGAGTACAAGAAGAGACACACCACACCCAGAGTCAGTAATAAAATTATTTCACTACATTTACTTATAATATAGAATAAAGATGGCAGTGTGTGTGGAATGCAACTTTCAGGTGATACCGATAGAAAGCCACTATCAGCTGGCGTCGAGGGTATCCAATGATCGTGTATAGCAATGAATTATCATCGTAGCTCTCACTTTCCACTCAGAAGTACAATCTTATGTATCTTCAAGCACACCAACACTTTTGTCATCACTGTCATCAGCAGAGTAACAAGGTTTTTTATTTTTGCATCATAGTATAAATAGAGCTTTAAAAAAATAATCTTACTTAGGCTTCATAATTTTGAAGTGCTACAGAACACAGCCTTTCAGCACAAAAAATATCTATAACAGTGGCCAAGATGCTAGTTTTAGCAACCAGAATCCTTTATGCATCATTTACATGCATGCATACTGGAAAACAATCACAAGTTGGTTAGTGCTTCTCAGGAATTGGACAGTGCAAAAATACGGACATTTATGGGGAATCAAGCACTACTAGAAGTGCCAGATTTGCAGCTTCTCAGGGTACAAGGGATAAACTAGGAAGAGAAAATGCAACTTGAAAACTGAATATCCTTACTTGTAGTAGTATTTTCTGCTCGTATTCATATCTTTTGTAAGACATAGTACTGACTTCCTTTTGTCATCTTCTTTGGTTCTTTTGAAATAGATTAGATTGTCTGTATGTGCAGATGATATTTTTTAATATTCTGCTTAGCATTCACTGGTTTTAAACTCTGGCGGAAGATTCTAGTTGTTTTGTCCACTTGTGGACTTTGGTTTTGTTCCAAAACATGAACTTATGTGCACATCTGTTTTACATCTGGCTTATTTGTAGGCAGATTGTTGGTGCCTTGCCTCTCAGGCAGATGCACACGAACTTCAAAGGAAAAACCTATTTAATCACTTTTTTCAATGTGCTGGTTAAGTGACAGTGGGTCTGTTCTTTTTCTCCCAAAAATGTTGTCCCGGAACTCATACGAAGGAATATTCTTTTAATTTCACTGCCTTTTGTGTTTAGTAAATTTCGGAAGTACTTTACTTATGTGCTATTCTGGTGTACTTTCATTTTAGATCCATTGCTGGTCCTGTTCACATTTCCCAGCCCATCTACACACTACCTGACCTTTCATTCATACTTTCTCAGACTCTTCTATGTCGGAGGGGTGTCACATTGTCTTCCCTCTAATGACATTAGCGCCAATGTCGCATTTACCGACCCAAGAACATGTAGAACTGGCCCTAACTCAAACCCCCCACCCCCACCCCTGCCCACAGTCTCAACGTAGGTCACACAAGAGACTCTTTTCTCTCAACATGACACCCCTTTGACCTAGATCAGACTGAAACGGTGTGTAGATGGGCTGGTAAATGTGAATAGGTCCTCACTGCCAGTGCTACTCTTTTAGAATCTTTAATTTGCTACTCTTTATAAATTATATTATGTATTTTCTTATGTTTTTTTTTATTTTTTTTTTATAGTATTATTATTTTGTTCATGTTTTGAAATTTAATAAAATTTTGTTATGCTCTTTTAGTATCTTGGATTTGGAATTCAGAAATCAGCTAGCGAGGGTCGGCGTGCAGCTGCAGAAGCTGATGTTAAAAGCCAGTCAGAAAGTTCCAATGCAGCACAGGATAATGAAGAAAAAGATGCTCTTTTGAGGCAGGTTAGTTGGGTCTCTGGAAAATCTCAGCACTTTGAATTTATATTATTGTTGATCATACTCTTGTGCTTGTTTGCTGTCATTCTACTGAGTTATCTGTTTCTGACAGTTTGATCTTTCATAGGAAACAGTAGTCTTCTATGCCTTATCCATACAAAACTGACCATTGTTGAAGATACAGAATTTGGGCTTAGGCAGTCACAATTTTAGGATATTCATTCAAAGGATTGTTATGAATAGGAAGAAAAAAGCAGAGGAGAAATAATAAATGAAGAAGGAAATGGAGATATAGAAAGAGAACAAGCTGAAGAAGGAGAAGAAAAAGAGGAGAAAAAAAGAGACGAAGAAAAAGGAAAAGATGAATAAAACACGTAAGGAACATCCCAGGGTGTGATCCAGGGTCCCATTGTGGGGGTACAAATAATCCTCATCGAAACTAATTAGGGATGTTTCCATTTAGGTCAGAGTGTATCTGCCTGACAGTCAAGGAACCAACAGTCTGCATACAAATAAGCCAGATCTAAAATGGATGTGCATGTAAAACTCAGTTTGTAAAACAAGAGAAGTGAATGAAAAAACAAACATTCCGCCAGAGTATACAGCCGGTGAACACGAAGAAGAAGACTCATGGGACAGATTTCATTACCAATACATGCAGATGTGATGGGATTAATAAGAGTAAAACTGGTTATGAACCGTTAAAAAGAATTATGGTTAAATCCAAGAGGATCTGCTTCGTGGCACTGAGTTATCATATATGACCATGTCTCTCTCCACCTGTGCCTAAACTCCTGCCAAGAGCACTGCACAAAGTGTAACTCCACAGCTCCAGCAGCAATCTCCATGGATTTCTGTAACTGAAACTTGTGACCCTGAAAAACTTACTACATTCAGGGCATGTGGCAAACAACTTCACCGCTTTACCACAGAGACCCTTCCACTGATAAGACAGAATGACTAAGTGTATCACTGGCCTCAGGATTCATCAGCTTTATAAATGCATAGTCATGACAGAAATGAAATGTTTACACACTGTGCTAGGTGTAATGAGGAAAGATTGACTTAGGAGCGATGATATCAGGAGAATCGGCACAGAACCAAAACTGAACTTTGTAGGTAGACAACAAATCAAATGGTTTGGCCATAAAACAAGATAATCAGCAGACAGGGCACCACAGAGGGCAGTGTTATACTGATACAATGGAAACAGACCCAGAGGTTGACGGCGCAGAATATGGACCGCAGAAATATCAGAGACATTGAAAAGTTCTGTATATAAAGCGAACAGAAGGGCCCTTTCTAGAGATCTCTTCTTGCCCTGATGCCACGAGGCATTCCAGAAGTAGAGAAAAGAAGAAAAAGAATTCATTTTAACTTTGTGTTGGAGGTCTACATCCCAGAAGTAAATTTTTTTCTTTAAACTCCATGGTTGCACAGGTTGAAGCCAGAGATATGATTGAATTTGGAATGATACCTGAGTTTGTTGGTCGCCTGCCTGTGGTGGTTCCATTTCATAGTCTGTCTGAAGATATGCTTGTGAGAATTTTGGTGGAGCCTCGCAATGCCCTTATACCACAGTACCAGACACTGTTTGCAATGGACAAGGTAAAAATTTTAAACTGGATAGATATGTTTTAGTTTACTCTTCTCTTCTGCACTTTTTTCTGTATTGGAATATAGGCACTCAATCAGTTCTTGCCAAGCCATTCTGGTTTTTTTTTTAAAACAATCTCCTAAAGTTTAAATAATGCGGACACAAACAGTACATTGCAAAATCTATTGCCTGGCATATTTCGTGGTGTCTCATCAGGTGCATTACTACAGAGTTTATTGAACATAAAATGGAGCACAGAATTAATCTTTTTTTTCTCCTGAAATCCATAAACCACATTGTCCAGTTGTGTACATCTATCCACTGTAAATTCCAGATAAAATAAGTCACACATAATCACATGCTTCATTATATGTTGATTCAACTCTTTAGTAATGCACCTGACGAGATACCACAAAATATGCCAGGCAATAAATTGTTTAATGTTTTGTTTGTGTCTGCCTTATTTAAATTTACAACGGTAAAACATTGTTTTGAATCTTCTAAAGCTAATTCTATGTTTAGTATCATTAATTCCTTCTCTAGTCATCTTCTCCTTATTTTCTAGTATCCCTCTATCTCTTGTGCCCTGTTGGTTCCTGTGAAAGAACATTCTTTATACTATTGTCAGGTTTTCCTAGTGTGTCCTATCTATCACCAGAATTCCTTAGTTCTACATTATGTGGAAGTTGTTTAGTTCTCTCTCTGAGCTCAGCGTAAGTAATTCTGCCATACCCTTCTGTTCCTTTTAATTTTTGGAACATCAATTGGTGAATGTTTATAGTTTTTTAGTCATTGTTTTTGTCATTCACCCTGTTTCTGTACATCAGCCGTTATTTGACCCTAGTATTGAACATTCTTAGTTTGGTACTAGGTTTAACTCTCTCAGTACCAGGGAATTCAAAGGCACATTCATTGGTTTATTTGTATATGAAACATATTTCCTTGCTCTGTATATCCCATTCATATGTTATGTAAACACATTCTAAATCAGTTATGATTGTAAATTCATCTGCCCCAGAACTTTGCTTTTCTATAAAGTAAAGTACAGTACAGATACCTTTTCACGCCTTTAGGCGCATAGAGCACACGGGAAGAGCACCCATATTTTTACAGACCAATCGGCACTAGGTGGGTAATGTGGTCAGCATTATGCCGGCCGTCTTTACTTCCCCAGGACATACATCCTGGTACCCATTTCAGGCTGGGTTGACCTGCAGCTCCCCATACCATGATAAAATTCCACGCAAACAGCAGTGGGTTTCAAGCATGGTACGTTGGAATTATGAGTTGGACTTGCAACCCCTAAGCCACGGACACTGCACGCTTTTTTTCATAAGATTTAAATAATTGTTGCTATAAGTTACAAAAATCTTAGGATAAACAGTGTTGAATTAAGAACTACCTGGGGCTGAAAAAGTTAATTCCTGTCGATTTCAAACTGCCTTGATCACTTCTGTTACTTTTTTATTTTCAGTTCTAGATCTCTATCTGTTACCCCATTTGTGTCAAACTTTCTATCTAAATAGGTCTATGTATCTCTCTAGATGTCAGTAATATTCACATCTTATTGAAGATATTGTTGGGCCATTTGTATTATCTTTTAGATTTATATTTTACTTCTTCTGCCTTAATCTGTTATTACATATCTAAAATACTTTTTACTGTACTTATTCTTATATATTTCCAACAAATTTTCTGAGCTCGTGACTGCCTCACAGTCAAGGCGGACACACAACATCAATTACATAGTCAAATGAAGAAGATAAAAGGCAGCAGGTTAAAAAGAGGCAAGTCGTGGATGAGTCAAGCCTAGGACATTATTTTTTTTACAGGTATGTTCACTTGAGGACATAGAACCCCGCAAGGAGTGGATGCAAGTGCCTTCAGAGTGCTGTACATCTTTTTCTGCTTGCATCCAACTAGACAGAAAATGCAGACAACAGAGTTTGGCTGCTGTAGAAGCAAAAGTTCAAGCCTTGATTTTTGAGAACGCTCTAGAGGGTGATGTTGTCATTTACACAGATGGTTCTGTAATCTGCCACGTTAGAAGCTCGTGGGCTTTCACGGCTCAGTTTGGAGGGAGAGTTGTGATGGAGGATTCTGGAGCTTTTGCAGTAACTACAAGTAGTCTGACTATGGAGGTTATGGCTGTGACTAAAGCAATAACATGGCTAGAGACACAGACTTTGCATGGTGCATGCTTTCTCAGTGACTTGATGAGTATGCTCAGGAAGATAGAAAAAGGCTGGTTCTGAAGGCAGGGGTTGGTGGCTCTACAGAATTCATGGCTGACAAGGATTTGTTTTACTTTTGTGCCAGGACATGTGGGGGTACAAGGAAATGAGTAAGCTGATACACTTGCAGTTTAGGCTACTGTAAAAGCCGGACAAGCCATGGACCAGGCTGATATAGTGAATGCTCTAAGAGAGTTAAGACGTTTGCATGAACCAACTGAGAACGGTGAATCTGCAACCATGGTCAGACTGCATGAACAGCATGTTAAACCGGGTGTCGCCAAACAAGAACACTATGCGGGTAGTCAAAGAAGAAGAATAAACCAACACAGAATTGGTGTCGTTAGCCGCTACACGCTGCGGAATTTACTGAGGAGGGTATCCGAGCACTTATGGACTGAGTGGTTCGACGTGCAGTGAGGATAATCTGTCGACTCACTAACTAACTAATATTTTTCCGTCTCCTGATCGCTCCTTTCCATTGTTAACTTGTATAGTTTTAAGTGACCTATTCAAGAACAGAACTGATTGCCCACATCAGAAGGAGAAGTCTACATTCTGTGGTCATGTCATGAGAAGGAGACAACGGTAACATTGTGACAGTGGGAATGGAGGAGGAGAAAAAAAAGACAATGAGAGAAGATACTTGACAGTTTGATGTCATGGCATGATAGATCATCTATGTCAGAACTAAGTGAAAGTACACATGACAGAAAGTTGTGGCTAGACATGACTACCATTGCCACAAAAGCATGGACTGTGAGAAGAACAGAAAGAACTAGCCTGGTTTAACCCATTTTAATAGATGTTCCTGTTAAAGATAATCTCTTCAACATTTGAAGATCCTGAGTCAGTCTGCAGTCATAGTCTACCCTAGTAGAGACATAGGTGGCATCATCATCAAGTGCCTTGCCAGCTGGCGTAGGCGTTCATGCATCTCCACAGATCTCGGTCTCTGGTGCTCTGTATCAATTAAACTGATGATATTCCTCCATGCCACTGTCTTAAGCCATCCACCATCGTTTCTCTTGGTCTGCCTCTGCTTCTTCTACCAGTGATCTTTCCGGTCATCAGGACTTTCTCCAGTGCTCCTTTTCTCATCACATGACCAAAGAACTTTGTTTGTCTCCTTCTCATTGTTGTATGAAATGTTCTACTTTCATTAGCCATTTCCAGGCAATCATTGTTAGTTATTCTGGCAGTCTAAGGTATTCGCAAGGCGGCACGGTTTTTGAAAATTATTATCTTCAAATGGTAATGTAATATTTCCATTAATTAAATGTTGCGTAATTTTTTCTTTTTTCTCTCTTTTTCTTTTCCAAAGGCTAATCTGATTGTAAATGATGATGCTAGAAGAGCAATTGCCAGGCTTGCTTTAGAGAGAAAAACTGGAGCTCGAGGTCTTCGAGCCATCATGGTAAGCACTCTCTGAACGTTCTTCTTCTTTTTCTTCATGTTCACCATCTGTAAACTCTGGCGGAAAGTTCTGGTTGTTTATCCACTTTTGGACTGCAGTCCTGTTCCTGAACCTGAGTGTTACGTGTGCATCTGTTTTACAGATCTGACTCATTTGTATGCAGACTGCTGGTTCCTTACCTCTCAGGCAGATGCACTCCGACTTCGAAGGAAGCTCCCAATTAGTCGACTCTTATGACATGCTTTTGGGTAGGTCATTTCTTTTTTCCCTAAAATAGGGCCCCGGAGCCCACACAGGGATCTCTAAACGTTAATTCACACAGTGATGTAAAATAAAGAGTAAAATATTTGTATTGTCTGTTACTGAGACCCTAAGGAGATGCACATAAATTGCAACATCCCACCCTATTAAGTATGTGGTAGGTGACTAATGGTTGAGTTTGTCTCAGGGTTGGCTGATGTACACTGTAAACATTTAGAGCCACAAAAGCCAGCTGATTGTGAACACATTTAGGAAGGAAACAGGATCATGACAAAGGTTAGGAATGCTTGGCCAAGTTGGCTGAGAGCCTCTGCTCCATCAGAGTGTTAAGAACAGAAGAAGAAGACAGCAGTGTCCACTCAAATGACACTTTAACAATTCTATAATACATAAAAGTACATTACAGTAGTATGTCACTTGTTCAATATTATGTCACTTGTTCTTACAGTAGGTTACATCACATGCTTTAATTGATATGCAAAAGGTAATTTCACATGCTTTGATTAATTTGTAAAAGGGTTCGCACCCGCTCTCTGTGGAAGCTTCATTGTTGTCTGCCTGCTGAAAAAACATAGGCGGTCATGATTCCGCATCCTACATAATTGGCACATATCGGATCAGGTCTACTCTTTTCTCGCCCGATGTATACAATCATTCCAGCCCTCTCCCCCCCCCCTCAGTTGCTGTGGCTGCTATTGGATACCTCACCATCACAACGCTTTTTGAGAGGGCACCCACTTTGAGAAACAATGGTGTATATCAACTCTTCTTCTTTTTTGCGCTCACCAGCTGTAAACTCTAGTGTAAGGTTCTGGTTATTCATCTACTTCCAGACTTTAGTCTTTTTCCAGAACTTGAGTTTTGTATGCACATCCATTTTACATATGTGACCTATTTGAATTCAGGCCGGTCATTCCTTGCCTCTCAAACAGGCGCACTCTGATTTCAAAGGCAACGCCCCTAATTAGTCGACTTTTACAACATGCATGTTTGTGGGCAGTGAGTATTTTCTCCCCCCCCCCCCCCCCCTCCCCACAGTGGAACCCTATAACTTTCTTAACTCTTTCAGTCCCAAGGATTGCATCATACCTTTACACGTTCCTACCTAGAAGCCTGGTGAACGCAAGATGCTTTGATTTTACATCTTTCTTTACTACCCCTTGGGCATCTCATGCTTAACCCCTTGGGGCTAAAAGAGTTAATTGCTATAGGCTCCCTCGTTAACCCAGGCTAAAGGAATTGTCACGTTTAATAATAGTAGCCAAAATGATGTTGACATCACCTGCTGAATGGTTATTAGTCTATAAAATGATGGGGGCTAGAACCACATGCTGCATGCACCGATCATGTAAAAAAGTGTTCTTTGCTTATTTAAAAATAAATTTACTGTTCTTAGAGATTACCTCATCATCATTATAAACCACTTCTCTTTATTAAGTGTCATGGGGAGGAATAATTTGCAATCCAGTACACGCTGGCTGCCACTGGCTATTGTCATGCCGTTAAGAGTGTCTTTAATGTTGTCAACCCATATTTTTCTTGTCCGACCTCCTGCTCTTGTAGCTGATCTTCTGAGATGTAGTGCTTGTGATGGTATCTGATCTTGCTGCATTCTAATGAGATGGCTAAACCACTTGATCTGCTGTTTCTTGATGAATCTAGTACAAAGGTGTCGTTCCAACAATCTATCTGATAGTATCCTTGGTCACTCAGTCTCGGACTGTAACGTTGACAACTTTTCTCAAGCACCTCATCTCGCAGGTGGTGATTTTGCGTAAATAGGCTTTAAATGTATCCTTGTTTGGCACTGGTAGCTTAAAGTTGGAGGGAATATGCTTTTTATAGTTGGTATATAAGTGCACTTGCTTTTTGACATCTGGTTTTTATTTCTCTGTCAGTTCTATCATCTTCTATGATCACACTTCCAAAGTATTTAAATTTGCTAAGATTCAGACTGAAACAATTCAGCTGTATGTGTAGTGGCCTAGGAGCTCTACTAACTTGATTTGTTTTAGTTTCGTTTTCTTCTTTTGCATGGCTTAGACATTACATTGACTGTAATTGCAGGAAACCATACTGCTAGATTCTATGTTTGAAGTACCTGGATCTGACATTTCCACCGTGCTTATCAATGAGAAGGTTGTTAAAGGAGATGAACCTCCAGCTTACATCCGGACAGCTAAAGTTTCCAAGTCTGAGACCTCTCGGGACACCAGCTGTGAGGATGAGGAGGACATGAAGATCAGGCAGTCGTGATTTGTGTGGTGTGACATGGCTTGGCTGAGATAGTAGTGTCAGAGACGTTCAAGTGTTTGTGTGTATGTTTTCTGCCTGTATTTTCTTGTTTATCTGCTCTTTTTTTATGTATGCAAGCATGGAAGTGAACAAAGATATAAAAATGTGTCTTTGTCTGTCTGTCCGTCTGTCTCTCTGCCTGCCTCTCTGTGTGTCTAACTACCTACCTACCTGGCCTCATGTTTGCTCGTTTTAATATATGTGTGTGTTGCTTTTGTGTGCATGTGCATGCATGGAGGTATATGAATGAGAGTGAGTGACTGAGAAAGTGTATGTATGTGTGTGTATATGTGTGCATACCTCTGTGTGTGTGTACAAACGAACACACTCACACATTTGTTAATGTTTGTAAATATAATTTTGTTTTAAAATAACTACCAATATTTTAAAATAAAGAATCCATTACATTTAATTTGTAAAAAATAGAGAGAAATAACAAATGAGAGGTGTATAATTAAGTGTGGTTTAATTCGCTCACTATGTAAATATTTTAAGTTCCAGCAGCGTTCTCCCTGATTTCACATATATACATATGATTTATCTACATGCTGTGTCTAATTTTAGGTCACATATACCTCTTCTTTTCTACTTATTATTATTATTGTTTTTATTTTGTTGTCTCACTCTTACTGGGTTTTAGCAGTTTCTTGCTTTTCTGTTTCATTTTGAGTGTTAGATTGGTTCATCTTTTTGCCGGGTTAATCTGCTTGTGTATTCATCTCATCTTTGGTCTTCCTCTTGCCTTCTGCTGTATGTCTTATATACAGTTTGGTCTGGCTGCATTCTTATTAATTGGCCAAACCACTTCATTCTCTTTCTTTTAATGTAATCCAGGTTTTCCCAACCTTTTCTCTAATGTTGATATTCATTACTCTGTCCCTTCTTGTGTTGCTGGTGATGTTTCAGAGGCAGCCCATCTCAGAGGAAGTTATTTTCTATTCTTTTGTTCTGCTCTTTGTCTGTGTTTAGCACTTATAGTCAAAAATGATAATCTCTGGCTTACTTCCTGTCCAGTATCCGCTTCCTGCACTACACCTGTACTCAGAGTTTCTTCTTCTTTTCTCTGCTCCTGGAATGCCGCACTGCATCAGGGTGGGAAGAGATCTCTGTAACGGGACCTTCTGTTTGCTTCATATAATGTACTTTTTAGTGTCTCTGATATTTCTGCTGTCCATCTTCTGTGTGTTGACCTTAGAGTTTCTAATGTGTTTTCTTGTTTGTATCTGTATTATTGTCTGCATGTGTTATATGCTGAGGAAAACTTTGTAACCGCAGTGTTTATTTGTTTATGATTGTGATAGTGTCAAACTGATAAGTTCTCTGCTTGTTTGAATTGATATTTATTATGATAGTCAAACAGACTTCTTAGAAATATGTTTCTAGAACATGTTGGTTTAATTAGAGACTCACAGTGTGCCTATCCTTCCACTAGCAGTAAATTGTTCTCCATTGAGATTCTTGCTGTGTGAAGCAATCCATGTGAAAGCCTTGGGAGCTATTGAACAGGATTAGGAGCTATTCCTAAACTCTCCATGACTATTTGAAGTAGTTTATTGGTGTTGTTCCCCCCTCCCCCACTCCCCTTTCCCTTTCTTTTGTTGAAAATGGAAAGAGGGATACATTTCAGAGTACCAGTGTTGAGAGCCTGTGCTTAACACCTTCTTTAGCAATATGCCATATAAAACACATCAGTTTCAGAGCTGTACTAACAATGTTGAAAGCTAATACTCTTCTTCCTTAGCTGTGTGACATATTGTGAGACTTAGTCAAGGTTGAGAGTTTATAGTTCCATTCCTTAGCTGTGTGCCATGTTGTTGGACTGAGTCCTGGTTGCGAGTTTATACTCCATTTCTTTAGCTGTATGCCATGTTGTAAGACTGAATCAGGGTTGAGAACTTATACTCACCTTTCTTAGCTGTGTGACATGTAGGACTGAATCATGGTTGCGAGTTTATACTCCATTTCTTTAGCTGTACGCCATGTTTAAGACTGAATCAGGGTTGAGAACTTATACTCACCTTCCTTAGCCATGTGCTAAGTTGTAAGACTGAATCAGGGTTGAGAACTTATACTCACCTTCCTTAGCCATGTGCTAAGTTGTAAGACTGAATCAGGGTTGAGAACTTATACTCACCTTCCTTAGCCATGTGCTAAGTTGTAAGACTGAATCAGGGTTGAGAACTTATACTCGCCTTTCTTAGCATGTGCTATGTTGAAAGACTGAGTCAGGGTTGAGAGCTTATGCTCTTCTTCCTTGGCCATGTGCCATGTTGTCAGACTGAAGGTTGAGAACTTATACTCACCTTCCTTACCTGTGTGCCATTTTGTTAGACTGAGTCAAGGTTGAGAGTTATACTTCCCTTCCTTAGCTATGTGCCTTGTCAGACTGAATCAGAGCTGGTAGCTTATACTCATCTTCCTTAGCTATGTGCCGTGATATGGTGTAAGGCTGAGTCAACTTCTAACAGTCTTGAGAGCTTATACTCTACACCATCCCCAACTGAAATAACTATATGGAACTCTCAGGTGAACAGTATTTTGTTGAGTATTTTAGTAATTATGCAGACGGTCAATACTCAAGGGAAATGTCAGACAGTTATACAGGCTGTTACTAGTGCTATCAGAATTTGAACTCATTACTTGCTGCTGAGATGATGGAGGGAGCACTTATGGGAATGTTCTGAGTGCTTCCGACTGTTTCTCTCCACCTTTCTGTCTTATATTCACACATACATTCACCCCCCCCCCCCCCCCCAATTTTCCTGAACCCCCTCCACCTCACATTTTCTGAATTATATTCTTTGGATTGAATTAATACCATAAGAATTGGAACTCTGCGCTGATGGCAGCTGAAGACTGAAACAGAGAGCTTCTGGTATTGTCCCAAGTGTTTTATGTCGGTTCTTAACTCTGTCCAGCTATGTATTGTCTTTGCCTTTACATATTGAAAGAATTTTAACATTACAAAAGATACTTTTCAGTAGCTATTTTGATAAACATTTATTTGGGTTTTACTGTGTTACAGTAAAAATGCGGTGTAATGTAACATGGCTGAGTGTTGAATTTGTTTCAGAGCCCAGATCTCAGTAATTTATGTAAAGGGAGAGAGTGTGTATGTGTGCGCGTGTTTGTGTGTGTCTGTATGTGTGTGTTACAGAAAGTAATACACCACACAGGAGCTGTTTATTCAAAAACCATGAAATTTGTACAAAATATACATGCATGTGTCAAGTAAACATTATTATTATTCATAGTAATACCCCTCAGCTTGTACGACCTTATGCCAGAAATAAATTAATCATGTACTGGGACTATACAGTGGATGGGGTAGTACAGTCTAACCCAGTTTAATGATGTGTTGCCTGTTGCCAGACTTAGTGAGGGTGTGGGTTTGATCCTTAACAATGCCCACCCACGTGAGAAACTGGACTATTATCTAAGCTATGTTGATCCTAGACAGTCCTGGATAGCCAAGAAAACAGCGAGTGGCTCGTTCCATGAAATGAAAGTTGCTGTACTTGTATCCACAGGAGAAGGAGAAGGGATAGATAGATTTCTGGATACACCCACTGTGATATAATCCAGGTGCTCAGTTAACCCCTCCGACTGCTCTCCTCTCCTGGCATTACTTAAAAGCCCCCATCAAGTGATTTAAATATTTGTTAGCTGAAGTAAACTAATATGCACAAAGACACTTGAACCTAAGTACACAATTTACTCAACTATGGTTAAACATCAAAAAGATTTATTTAATAAATCTGACTAAAATAAAATGAACTTGTTTAGGCTAGTAGAGTTGGGATGATGTTATAGATGACATTAAAGTTGTACATAACTTAGCTCATCAGGACAGTTCTCGGCTTGAGACCCTGCCTATCTTTTCCAGTTTGTCGTCCTCACTGCTTTCTGCAGGTCGTTACACTCGACGGTCGGCAAATAATGGATGCCTACTAGTCCCTGCCCAATGTGGGAACTGGAGAATGAAGAAACAAGCGCATATTTGTAGTATCTGCTCTAGATGTACACTAAGCATGTATATTATACTAACATCAAGCATGTTTATTTAAATAAAACATTTCATCTCTCCCTCATGCTCACATTCACTCCTGTCCAATTTGGAAGGGCTTATGTCTCACATTCCAACTGTTACATCTTCTGCCTTCCTCTACACGTCCTGTAATGATAGTCAAGTCTTCTACGTCAGGTGCCATCTCTCGTACAGACTCAAAATGACAATCAGTCAGACAGAACCAGTTCTGGAATCTATGCTTGGAACAATCGACGCGCCCAGAATGCTAACAATAGTTCTGGGGCGAATCAAATAACAAATCTCGTGGATTTACTCTCCGGGATCAATCTCCGCATTAGCCTCCCGAGAGTTAAACACATTTCAGTGTGTTAGCTGTATGTAATACAGATTCACATTAACCACACGTGAAAAGATTGCCAAAGTTATCTTCACGCTTGTGATTTCAAAAACATGATAGTTCATTAAATTTCAATGGCAACAACAATTTAGGTTTTACAACATTGAAACACATGTGCCCGAAAAACATTCATGACACTATCAAATAGGAAATAAAGCAATGTGACAGTGCCCTACGAGAATGAAGAAATGTCCGCCTAGGAGTACTACAAAGTGATGAAGACACACTTGAGCAAAAAGACAGTTAGATCTCTATCATAAAAAATATAGATTGGAACCTAATTTCAATCTTACCTGGAAAAATGAAACCACGATGCCAAAAGTTCTGTCTCAAGCTTAGGTTAAGCCCAACAGATGGCATGTGCTCGACAGGATCTCATTTACCAGACCTATAGTTCACCCCTTTATAACTTTTATCAAGCTCCTCCTACATTACGCCTAAAATCATTCTCATTAAGGGATATCACAGCTCCTCCCTTGTGGGTGTATATTCCCTGTCAGTCAGTGACTGTACAACAATTGTTTGCATTCCCAC